AGGAACGTTGCAATGCTACACGCTGCATTGAAGACGTCTCCAGAGTAACTGAATGACGGTTCATATAGAAATCGCAGGTAAGCGTCTCATACAACAACGCCCCCTATAGTTCATTGCGATCGCGAATATTGATTTAATAGAGAATATCACTAAAATGAAACAGGTTATGTTTTCTTACAATAAAAGCTAAATAGAATTAATTCTTCAAAATAGCGTTTCAATAAAACATAGTATTAAAATGTTACGTTATTTTTTGTGATTGGTTCAGTAATAAATTATTTCTTCTAAAAAAAATTAAAAAATTGAATCTGTTATATCTAGATCGTTTTATAAAATATATCTTGTATAATATACCTTTTATAATTGAATCTGTTATAAACTAGATCGTTTTATAAAATATAAATTATAGCGTTTAATAAAATATGAATACAGTGTATTTGTAAAGTCATCCTGACAGTAAAAAGGTATTTTCTTTTTTAATTCTCCTCTAAAGAGAATTAATGAGTTATTTTTATTCATCATGGCTAGTCGAGGAGGGGGGGAGAAAAAGAATATCGAATTGCACTGTTTAGGTTAATGTAATTTCGTTCTCCCACCACATTTACGCGTAATCCATCGCCAATTCCACCTGCAATCGCCACGTTTATAATCTACGGTATGTTTTGTCATTACGCAGCCCGGAAGTCTTATGACGAATTTTAACCCTTAGCGCCATCTGTGTTTAGCTTTGCTCGGTCAACCTCGGTCAACCATCCATCTAGTTTCAATTTTACGGGTTCTGACGCATTACAAAATTGTTGTGACCGTGAGTTTTTCTAGAAATAAACAAATTGCGTCATAAAAAACACCAAAGAGGAAAACACAAAATCAAGTTTGGAAGTTTTAATAATATTAAACTTCCAGTTATTCTTTTCATTTGTAACTTTGAACACTAATTTTTTTATAATCACTATGTCGATATTTACCCCAACGAACCAGATTAGGTTAACAAACGTTGCTGTTGTGCGTATGAAAAAAGGGGGTAAACGTTTTGAAATAGCATGTTATAAAAACAAAGTTATGTCGTGGAGAAATAAAGTGTATGTAATTTTCTTTCTTTGATTCGTTAGTTTACTTTATAAGAATCTTACACATTAAAATATGTATACTATTACTTACACAGCAATTCTTAATCTTTACCTTAAGTTTTTGTTTAAATGATTTTTCATACTTAAATATGATATAATCAGTATTTTAAATCAGATTTTGTTATTGTAATTATACAAATAGAGTATATTGTTGTTTGACAACTTGTTAATAATCTGCCATAAAGCTTTAGAAAATAATAAGAATAACTGTTTAAAAATTTAATATCTTGAACTGTGGCTGCATTTCATTCATTGTACTTAGTGCTTAGCTTGACAATCAATTATGATGATTAATACTGATTTTGTGAAGACATTTTTCTTTTAAGAGGCTGTATCGTGAATACATTATACTTATAACTCTAAATAAAAACTTTAGGGTTTATTCATACAATTGCTATTTCTGAACAACAAATTCGTAATTTTAACTTAACCGGTAAAATAAAGACAGTAATTATGTACTTTCACAAAATAAATAATTTGTTTTTAAGCATTTTCCCTGTAACTGTCAGATGCTTTCTTGTTAATTTTAAAACACTCTTCCAGATTTAATAATTAATTATTTTTGTAAATAACAAGAATCATGTTAAACAGCCCTATTGTCTAAATGAATTATTAAGTGTGATGTTAATTTTTATTTAAAACTATTCACATTAGTAGTGGTGCACTTACCACAGTAGTTTTTTTTTTGGAATAAATAAGTTGTATAAAAATCAAGTGTCAAAGTGTATACATCCAAATTGCAAATAAAATGTTCAGTTGCTAAATTATATAAAGTATCATTAAGAAGTAGTTTTTCTCACTGACAAAATTTTTAGTTTTGTTTTATGTTATACATTCAGCAAAGATTTTAGTTGATTCTTACAAAAATTTAGATTTTTGCATTGTGTTGTTAAATTATAGTTTTTAGGTTAAATAAAGGAAGAAAAAAAGTTGTTGGATTATACTTTAGTGATGTTATTTTAGATCATAATATCTAATATTATATGTACAAATGTATTGAAAGATTGTGGTATAGGCATTAGTAGGTTAACAAGTTAATAAAATTAATTAAAATTTAAAATTCAATTAAAATAATTAAGGGAGTAATTCTCTGTAAATAGGCTAAAATGATGGATATCTCAGCTTTTTCTGTAAAAAAAAATGAATAAGTTCTTTGTCCAGTATATAAGTCTGAAGTAATCTTTGAAATAACTATTTTTTTTAGTTCGTTTTTAGGCCTATGAAATCTTAAACCTTCACTCACAAAGTCTTCTGTCTTGTACTTACAAATTTGAAGGAAAAAAAAGTTTTTTTCCTCTGAAATACCTATATAATTTTCTAAATCAAATTTTATCTTATATTAAAATAAACATTGTAGTTTTGTTTCTATGTACAGTAGGGAACCGATTATCCGGAATGGTCGGGACCATCGCTATTCCGGATAACTGATTTTCCGGTTTTCTGAATCGCTACAAAAAGCCGTTTTTTTTATTGTTAAACCCAACTAAAAAAAAAAATTTGGAAATAATCTTAAAAATAAGAAAAAACGATTAAGTAATACACTAATGATCATTTCCAAAATGATGGTAAGGTAAACATCGTTAAAAAAAGAAAGAAAAATCGTAAAATCTTATGAAGAAAAAAAATTTTTTTTTAAAAAATGGCGAGAAAATTTATCGAATTTTGTTCCGGTTTTTTGGTTTTCCGGTTTTCTGATTTCCGGATAACGGGTTCTGTACTGTATTAAGTTAATATTTTAGTTTTTAAATGGGTTTTTAATTTTGTAAAAAGGTTTGAACTCGTAAGTCCTATCTTTCCCCTACACTTAGAAGTGCAGAATGTTTTGCATCAAGGGCATTATTATTTTTATGTAAGCATTGCGTACGTTTAAGAACATGCTCTTAGAAAAATGATAATTAAATTTTAGTAAATTGCGAAAAGTTCATCAACGTGTAAAAGGAAACAATTATCATATTGGATAACTGTCAAGCTGATACTCTCATTTTTTATTTAAATTTATCAAGCTTATTTTCCAAAAATGTATTAATAATTGTTAAAATTTCCTCTAATGGGGTAGTTAAAGAATATATCACATTATTTTGATTTTATTTATTTGTTATAAAAGAATAAACTTATTCCCATATTATGATTCCCTTACTGTGAGAAAACGACTATTTTGTGAAGAATTGTGATTCTAATGTTTTAAAAGGCTAGTTAAAAAAGTTTTATAAACTTATGTTTTTCTTGTCTAGTACCTTCTTCTTTGTACCTTATTACAAAAAATTAGAAATATTTGCCATAATTCTTTTTCTTGTCGCTATCTGAAAATAGCCTATTTCTAGAGAATGACCAAAGGGCTTGTTGATTACTAATAAATAATAATAGTAAATACGTAACTACAAGGGCTTGTTGTAAATACGTAACTACAAATTTTTAAACTAACATTTGTGAGGCAAAAAAAATGCACAAAATATTATTTCACCAGGTTTACATGGTGTGTAGCCTTTTTTAAAAAGTGCTTAAAGGTGCTTATTTTCATTTTTTAATGCCCTTAAAGGTGCTTTTTTCATTGGGTGTTTTTAAAAAGGGTTCAATTTTCTTTTCTATACCATGTCAATTTTCGCCACGTATTATGCAGAGAGTGCTTTTCACATTGTTCTATTCAACATTTTCCCATTTCATTCAACCAAAATCTATTTCGGCATCCTGTCAGTCCATAGTGTATGAAAGCGCCAATAATTTTACATATTTGATAAAATACTTGCAAGTCCACACGTGCTTCTATTGAGCTGGGTTCTGTGAGATTCTTACTCTCATGTGCAACTGTGCTGCATTTTGTTAGATATTCTAAATTTCAGGCTTCATTTTCACCGTCTAAAAAATAAGCAAAATTAGATGATTATTTGCAAATTTTAATTTGTAGTTGTTTACCGTTTTTTAAATAATTATGACTTGTCCGGAGCAGTTGGCATGTCTGGAAATACATACAGAAAAAGAAATGATAAATTGAAAAAGTAAATAAAAAATGTCTTGCCTAATTGCAGTTTATAAAAGTTGATTTCGGTTTACGCAGCTTGATAAAAAAAATTTATAAAATAAAAACGTAATGCCAAAAAATTTTTCCTTCCCATGGGTGGGATTTGAACACATTCAATTTTTATTGATGTTTATCTCAGATAAATTATAATTGATTATTAAATTTCTACTATCAATTTTTACAATCTGAACATTTAGTTGTTGCAATACGTTTTGTGATATCTCTATAAAATGATGTTTCAGTGAAAAAGACATTGATGAAGTTCTGCAGACACACGTTGTTTTCACCAATGTTTCCAAAGGACAAGCAGCCAAAAAGGAGGATCTTATAAAGTGTTTTGGAAAGGACAATCAAACAGAAATTTGTGAAGAAGTATTTTATCTCTTTAAAAAAATATAGAAAACTATTTATTATAGTTACATAAAATTTATAATTTTCATTAAAAAAAATATTGATTCAAAATGGGAATAGAGTAAATTAGTACAATTCATCTCCATTTTGATAACAATTGTGAAAAATTCTGATTTATTAAAAACGAAAATTGAATTTGTATCTAAAATCATGTTTCAAGTTATTTTAAGTTTCAATCTCTTGTTTCTTTTTTTTTTTAAATTTAAATCGTGCAGTTGTTAAAAGTACCATAAAATTTTCTTATTGATGGATGATGGATCTTTTTAATCATGGAAGATTTTATTTCCTATGTTTCTTTTAGTTTTAACATTTTCAGTTTGAACAAAACTGGCAAAAAATTTTGATAAATTTTTTTTCTTTTTCAAAATAAATTATGGGTTTTAAATAAAATTTATTACCAATTATTAAAGCATATTTTTAAGATATGCCATACATGCCTGTGTAAATACCAATGGATTTCAAATATTATTGTATTATCAATTATTAACCCTTTCGCAACAGGAAACGCAAATGCGCTTATCACTTAGGCCGGCAGTCTCTCTCGCGAGTGTCTGTCCAAGGCCAGGGGTTTTTTTGCTGTTAAGCCTAAATCTATGGAATTACTGAAATATCAAAGCGTTGTTTAATAATACTCTGTAGAGTATTTAAATGGCATATGCTTTATATATATTTCTATAGATACTTTGTTTACTTAAGTTATTTTTTGTTTAAATATATATTTTACACATTTTATTTTCATTATGCACTTATCATTTAATAACTTTTAACATTATATATCTGAAAACTAAATATATGACTTAAAATTCTTTTTTCATATGAAAAATTTGAAAATACTAACATTCCACTAAAAACTGGACCTCAAATCGAAATACCCAACGATGTAGTAAAAAGGAAAAAAACCTCCCCTGCTTACTGTAAACAAATACCACGTGCAAATTTAAAGAGCCGCCATAAAGCATGCCATTCGGAAACATTCCTTTCTCCTTCATTCCTTCCACCTATAAACTACGTGTATGTGAGTCATACTACTCTCATTTTGAGTAGAAGGTCAAATCTAAATGTATCTGAAACCATATGGACATACATTGCCATCTTCTAGCAAAAATATTTTTTTAAACGTTCCAGGGCACTTGCTCTAATGGATGACGGCTGGGGGTGAGCAAGAAAACGCTAGCGTCGGCCGGAAAGTGGATGCGTTTCTTGCTGGCACTTACAGGTGACAGTCAGCGCGAAAAGGTTAAAGCATATTTTTAAGATATACCATACATGCCAGTGTAAATGCCAATGGATTTTAAATATTATTGCATTATCACTTATTAATACATATTTTTAAGATATACCATGTCATGCCAGTGTATAACTCATATTTCAAAACCCCTAAAATCTGATGAAAATCAGAGGCTCGGCTAGATCGCCGGACATTCGTTGATCGTGAAATATCAATGCATTATAAACAATGTCTTGGATATGAATAACTTTGTATCAATTTACCCCTTTCAGAAACTACTTTTAATATGTTTTACATACAAGTAATTTTGAATTCTCTCTCATTATATTTCCTTACTTTCTTTGCATATAGAGGATTTCTTAGAAACAATACTTTAAATTACGTTCTGTAAAAAAAATAAAAAATAAGAAAAATTTATTCAATTTATTCAAAAATTATAATGAAAACTTTTGAAACATACCATAAAGCTAGGATATACTCTGACGTAACAAATATAATTTTTATTACGAATTTATCAGAAAATAATTAATGAAAAATTAATATTTCAACAAAAGGAATGTGAATTGAGCAAGGCTAGTCTCAGGTTTTACAAGCCTAGGAGTGAAATTTATTTGGGCCCCCTTACTCTGAGCACAAAATGTCTTGTTTTCAAATTTTATAAAATTTTTGAAAACCCTTTATTTAAAATTGTAGTTATGTAGATGTAATGGAATTCTCTACAATTTCTTTTAACTAGAAAAAAAAAAATTAAAAATTACTACATTTTTTGAAGGAAATTTTTGAAAACCCTTTATTTAAAATTGTAGTTATGTAGATGTAATGGAATTCTCTACAATTTCTTTTAACTAGAAAAAAAAAATTAAAAATTACTACATTTTTTGAAGGAAATTCGATTGGGCTCTGAGCAGTCTCAGACACTTAGACAATTGTCTCTGTCTTTCCCTTTTGAACACTGCTTCAAAATTTATATATCTAATGTTGTATACAAGGAGTTATTTATATGCAAAGAAAATATTTACTGATATTTTTAGTAACTATTTAATTTATAAATGTATTATTTTAATATGCATTTTCTACAAAACTACATTCTATTTTGTAGATATTAGCTAAAGGTGAACTTCAAATTTCTGAAAAAGAAAGATCAGTCCAACTAGAGTCCATGTTTAAAGATGTTGCGACTATAGTTGCTGATAAATGTATTAATCCAGACACAAAAAGGCCTTATCCTATGAGTATAATTGAGAAATCTATGAAGGAAATTCATATATCCTTGAAACCCAACAAAAACTCAAAACAACAGGTATAATTAAAATTAATTTCTTTGAACTAAATCAGTAATTTTTTTGACTCTCACTTCATTTAATATATATATATATATAAATGCAATATGCAACTGTAACTTAGAGAAACACTTTTAAATTTCATGATTTGCAATTATGTGTTTACTACTGAAGAATGAATTAATTATTCATTCTATTTCATACAGCACAATATACAGCAGAAGTGAGTTTTTAAGGAATTTATGTTTTTTTTATTACTTATTAAATTGGTTTTAAATTATTATTAAACTTATACTTTTAAATTTTCTTTAAAAATTAATATCAATTTTACAAAATGCAAACTCAAAAAAGTTTTAACAAATAATTAACAAATTAAACGCAAAAAATCAAACTGATAATAAATTATGAATTTATATTCATTTTTTAAGTTTATATATTTGGAACTATAAAAATAGTTTTTTAATTATATTTTTAAACATAGTTACATAAAAAACTGATTCCCTAACATTTTACTGTATGAAATTCGTTTCATTTTTTACTTGAAGACGTATACTTAGATAATAACATTCATTAATGCTTAAAAATGTAACATATCTTAGCTGACATCAGCAAACTGCTTAGTTACTCTCACTACCATATATCTTGATGTATATTTTCCTCAATGTATATTTCCTCAATGTAAATCAAATTTACAATGTATATTTGATTTTCCAAACCCCCTAACAATTTCTGAAAATCAAGGTGGTCAAGTTATACACTGGTGATATATTTTTTAATTTAAAAAAATTTGTAGGCATAATAATTTTTTAAAATTTTTTTTATTTTAGTCATATTTTGTTTTTTCCACGTTTGATACGCCTGACATGCCAGAAATTTGCTATATCATAATCAAATATAGTAGGTTGAATTATAAACTGAGATATACAGTACTTATTACATGGTTTGCATTTTGGTAATATAGTGAAACCTGTCAAATTGACCTTCACTATAAAAAACCCAATTAATGTTATGTAAAAAAAGAAAAAAAAACATTTTAAAAGATAATCCTCTGAAGTCAAATTATTGTAGGTCTAAACTGTTAGTAAATGCTGATCTAAACATTTCATATGTTGACCAACTAAAAAATAACTTAAGAAATTTTCTGCGATTTTATGTTAGGAATTAGAATTTCACTAAATTGGTAAAATAGTATTAAGAGTTAACCTAATGAAAGAAAAACATTAATGTATATTAGATATAATATTCTTATGTATGTAAGAATAACATATTAAAAATGACTCAACTATTATGCAAGTTGATCATCGGTCTTAGTTGACCACGTCCATTTAAGCAATGCAATCTAGCTAGTCCAGTAACACAGGTTTAACTGTATAACATTTGAATTAATAAAAAGAGAAAGAAATTTCAAGTGCAACTGTATTGGATTTTCATCTACATTTGATAATATTAAGTAGACCTTTAAGAATTGTAAAACATTTAAGGAAGTCTACTGGAGATTAAACTCTGTCTTCAAATGTATACTGTCACTACATAATTAGCTAACCTTCAGTTTGATTGGTGCTTTCTTGCACATGTTTTTTTACAATGAATTCACGTTTGATCTTTTAACAATTTTATTGATACTTTTGCGGATAAATTTTAATTACCTGTCTCTTGAAAGGTTTTTTTTTTTTTTAACTACACCTAGTATTATTTATTTCTCAGATTTTTATTAGATTCTCCTTATGGATTTCTTTATTTATTTTTAACAGATAGTAATAACTTGATATATTTACACTTTAACAGCGTGTATAGAGCTTCAACTAATTGTATCCTCTAAAACTTGAGTTTCTTTTTCACTATATAAGTGAGATGTTAAGATAGTTTTAAAAAAGGGAAGAAATCAGATTGAAATGAAGTTAGAGGCAATTTTTTAGCTAATTCATAATCTTTTTTTTTTTTTTTTACAGTATTGTCTGAAATTTAAATAAACAGAAACATAATTTTTAAATCAATTATTGAAGAACTTCAAAAATCTTTGTTTTTTCTCTTGCTTATTCGTATTTATTTTTTGAAGCTTACATTGCCTGCAGAGTCTTTGGAAGTTTATAGATTAGTTTATTAGATACCCTTTCTTTTAAATCATTATCTGCTTTAGGAATTTACTACCTGTGTGTTTCTCATATGCTCTCGCAGTCATACTCATATTATGAAAGATTTTTTATTTTATTTTTTAATACTTACAAATTGCTTTTCAATTAAAAAGAAAAAGAAAGTTTAATTAGAAATATATACATAATATATTTTTTATATTTCATCCAGCATTGTTGTCTTGTCTCTGCATTTTGTTGTCCATCTATTCAACAAAATTTAGTTTTAAAAACAAATTAACTTTTAGTACAAATTTAAATAATGTCGCTAAGCTTTAACAAATTATTTGGTTAAAAATTCACACAAAATTGTATTTCATTTCATTTATAATATTTAGAAATCCAGGGAAAGATTTAAAACACTGACATGCTTATGGAACATTCCATATTTTTATCAATATCATTTTTGGCAATTAATAACCCTTGCTTCATAACAAATGTAAATAAATATTTAAAATAACAAAATACATCTTGTTTTGTTAAGTAATTTAGAACATAAAAACTTATAATGAACTACATAAAAGGCTATTCCAAAATTCAAAACTTAAATTAACTTTAAAATATAAAGATGTGTGCATTTTTAAATACCATATTATAAATTTTTAGAGGGGAAAATATTATATTCAATAAAATATTTATTGTTTTGTAAAATATAAATATATTTTTTTTATCTATTTCCAGTAGAAACTGGCAATATTAATATCTTACTATAATATAAAAATAAAAAAAAATCTATAAAATAACTTTTTCCCATTTGCCTTTGATCATGCAAACATTGTCACTAATAACCTCGAATTTTTCAACCATTTAAAAAATCTTAAATGTGTAGTTGCATTTTTTTAATAAACATATATCCCATTCTGTTGTTATTTTGATAACATTTTTTAGAAATTCAAATAATTTATTTTTATAAATTAGATAATCAAATTGTGTAAAATACAGACATTTATCTGTTTAATAAAAAAACAAAAGTTTGACTTTTAAAAGCAAATTGGTTCAAAAATAAACTAAGTATACTTTCTTGAAAAAATGTTCAAATTCTCTATTGAATTAAAGCAGTAGAATTATTTTTTTTGATGCTCTGTAATTAGTTTTAAATTTTATATTTTACAATAACATTTTTGGCTTTGAAATTTCATCATGTTTGATTCTGTAGTTTTCTATTATATATTACCCTGTATTTTCATGTTAAAGATTTGTGACCCAATATTAATGTTAATTTTTAAGGCTTTAGAAGTTATTAAGAAATTGGAAGATGTGATGCCTATAGCACGATCGCAGATGAAATTACGTGTTTCAATACCTGGTGGGAAAAGCTACAGAAATAAATTGAAGGACCTAGCTGCATCTGTAGAATCTCAAAATACGGATGATGGTAACTTACAGATGGTGAGTGGTTTACATATTCAATAGGTGAATGTGCATTAGAAGAGGAATGGGAAAACTAAAGGATCGGATCACCGGCATCAGATAATCTAAGTTCTACTGTACATCCTTTATAAAACCTTTTATTTACATACATTTCATTCAATTCATTATATATATTTCAATGATGCTTGGAAATGAAATTACATTTGAAACAAATAATGCATCAAATTTTCCCATATACACAATTATTTGGAAGCTCAAAGGTGCTAAGCCCTTTATTCTAATTTCAAATCATAAAATTTATATAAACCAAAGAATTAAGTTAAGAAAATGAAGAGAAAAAAAGATCTCCGTTGATAAAATAAAACTTCTCTCTTACGTAAAATGAAGTAAAGTATAATAAAAACAAACAAAAATATAATTCAGTTCTTTCTTTTTTATGCAAGAAAAAAATTTCATTAAGAAATTTGTTAACATGTTTGTTTCAATGTTAATTTTTACAACTGCTCTCTCACTTGATATTTCTATTCTTTCTTGCCAACGTTGAAAAAAAAAATTATTTTTTTAACTATCTACACATTAGTGGTTACTTAAATTAGATCCTTCATTAAACATTTGTAATAGTGAATTTAGAATTTTAAGTCACAACTGGCTAAGTGATAATCCTAGTGTACCGCTTAGTATTTCAATTCATATATTGATAAATAGTTAGAGTTTCCATTTTCTAACAAACTATACTTTCATTGCATTAAATTGGATTGTTTTAGAATTGCATAAATTATAAAATTGTCTTATCGAATTTTCTGAAACCGTGAATTATGTTTTAATAGAAAACTCATTTTTATTATTAATTTTCTTAGCTATATTCTTTTAAAATACTATCTTCAAAAAAATTCTAGATGTTCTTTAGTAAAGAAAAGTATCTATTGTTTTGAATTTTTTCAAGCATGATTACTAAAATTACTTTATTATGGTTACCATGTATTATATTTTGAAGTTATCTTCGAATATTGAAAGTTATTCAGAATATTGAAAAATTGTTGCTATTTTACTGAATTTTTTCTGCACCATGATTTCTCAAGCTTTATGACCATATAAAGTTGTTCATCTAGCTGTGGTATTATTATGTATGAAGGCTTGTGGGGCAATATTTTACAACCGATTCTTACTTCAATTTTTAAGGTGTTTCTAGAATTTCCACTAGAAAATGGCGCAACGCATAGAAACATTTTACGACCATGTTTTTTTTTTCCCACACCGAAAATGCTTTTGTGAGCGGAAGCAATTTTTAAATGTGGCATATCATTTTGTTGCTCCAAGCTCTTAATATTAGAACTATACTAGCACCAAAAAGAAGATATTTTAACTGTTACATAATGACTTATCAAGCTTATATTTATTTTTGTTCTTTATCAAAAGAAGTTTTTTTCTTTAGGTGATTCTTATTGATCCAGGAAATTTTCGTAAAGTAGATGAAATTGTTACAAGTGAAACTAAGGGAAAAGGCCAACTGGAAGTAATCAGCTTAAAAGAAATGCAAGAAGGTGATGAAGCCTTGGAATAATTGTCTCATACTCCTTGTTGATGTTATTTATTTTTTTGTTTAATAATCAAATTTTAACATATTTTATGTAAATAAAAATTGATTTTAATTGCATTTAAGTTATTGCACCAACAATCTTAGTTTCTTTTGTGTTACTTATAGGAAAATTTTTTAGCATTAGCAACATTTTTCTGTACAAAAAAAAAAAAAGAGAATAACAGATTTCTCTAATATAATGTTCTTTTTAAAATGAACATGATTGCTAACCATTGTTTATGTTAGCCAGTGCACACAGTAGTGGCATTCGGTTCGAACAAGGCAACGATTTCGTTTAGTTATTTGTTGATTTAGTATGGTTGAAGTTAGGCTTTTATTTTTTTTCCATACCATTCGGTTGAGACAGGGCGATGTTTTGTTTAGTTATTCCAGTTTCCCCTTCATGTTCTGTGCTTGCTAAATTTGAATATAACTACTAGTCACAGGGTGGGGAGTAGCAACTTAAATTAACTAAACAACTGCCCTCTTTTCAAATATTTTTTTTATTTTTATCGTTTAATAATAAAAGTACATCAATGCAAAAGGGCTAGATAACAATTTTCATTAAAATATCCTATGTCGCCATTCAAAATCTTGATCCTCAACTTATGTTGGAAAGTTGCATGAGGAAAGAGAGTTCTTTAACTATTTACATATTTCAAAGTTGTAATGTATACATTAAATGTATTTTGTCTAGTTAAATATTTTAAATGAATCATTAAAGTTAGTGTGATTAACTATATTTTGTCACATATTTATATTATATAAAAAAGTTTGTAAAAACTGGCTATCAATATCAATCACTGACTAATTTTTTTTTTTTGAGGAAAAAATTCCAATAACTGAAAATTTAAATTTTCGGGACTAGTGTCCATGATATTGGTAAATTCACAGTTTATATAAATCAGTTTTTCCTAAATATATGTCTCAAAATAATTTCAAATAATTCAAAGATGCGTTTCTTTAGTTGATGAACAAAATAATGCAGATTGCATAGATAATTTCAATAATCTATGGAGTGTATTTATCACCTCGGTAAAAATCAGATGAATTGATTATTTTACAGTGTGGTAGACTTATTTTCAGAAATTTTATCATAGAAGAAAAACAAATATGGAATCAAGTTGCATGTACTTACAGAACAAAATAAGTAGTACTATTCAAAGGAAGCATATTTTTACCAGCATGTTACTCCTGGGAAAGATCACAAAGAAAAAATAGTGCAAAATTTAATGCTGGCCATGCAGTGTTCATGGATAATTTTTATTGCAACTATTTAGGTGCCAATTTATTGGAGCAAGTTACATATTGCACCTGCATATTAAACATAAAGATAACTCTAATAGCATAGTTACAAAAAAAAAGGCAAATATGTATCACAATGTCTTAACGATGTCTGTGTAGGGAAATTGAATGGGAAAATTAAGATAAATTACTCGTTTACTGAATTTCCATGATGAAAAGCAAGTGACCATCAGATGCAGTGCTGCAGCAAAAAAACCATCATAAATTACTACAACTCAGTGTATAAAAAATTTTGTACATCTTTAATAATGAGTCTGATGAATGCTCTAGTATTTTAAATAATATTCTAATTGGAAGAACAGATTACCGGTAAAAATTAACGAATCCTATTCGCTAGCAATAACATCAGATCCACTAATGCAGACACACACAAGTTAATAAATCAAAAAGTGTTGTATTTACTTTGTCTTTGCTGAAGTGTCCAGAAATTGTTTTAAAAAGAAAAACCATTGAATGTAAAAAATGTCCAGGTTCTCCAATATTTTTAGTCTATATTTATTTAGAATTGCACAAGTGATTTAGAATAAGTTCAGTAGTTACACAAGTCTTTTTTGTGATAGTGTAATATGTAATAACGAAACAAAGACTAGTTATTTCCCTATAAATGCAGATTTTTGATATATATTTTTTTTCTATTTGTAAGTTATTTTAAAGAATTCTAAGTAATTATAAAAAACTAATAATTAAAGGTATAATTTTTATTTTATTAGTAAAATATAACTTATTTGACCGAATGACATGTTACGCTATGACCATATGGGCAATAATTGCATTATGTATGGCCAGTCACTCCATATTGAGAGACATTAGGAATACATAAATCCTAACATAATATAAAAGTATACAGAGATGATTGTACTCCAGAAAAAGTTCTGGATTTTTCGCTAACCGCAATCCTGAAGTTTCTGGAAATCCAAGGTCCAGAAGTTTAAAGAAATCACCGATCACATTTATGTAAATATATCTTGTGTATTTCATTTAAAATTATTCAAACTAGAATTTATACTTGGCTTCTCTTTCATTTGGAAATATTTTTTCTGTTTGATTAATAAATGTGATTAGAGATAAATGTAAACTTATGCATAATTATTCATTTAAATTAGGCTGTACATAAATTAAGAATTTCATGCTTCGAAAATATCAATGATTTAGATTTATAAAGACATTACTTTTTTGAAATGCATCATTAATGATTTTACTGAAGAAATTTTCAGGATTTTTGAGTTGGGCTCACTATTACCCCTGAGTATATAAATATATTTTTAGCATTATAAAAACTATATAAAAAAAATAAGTCACCACACAAAAATCCAGTTTTCAGCTTTAATATTTTTTTACCAACATATATGTTTTATTTAGGTTTCCGTCTGCTGCATGACTAAAAATGTCACCCGAAACAAAATTCTGAAAGAAACAATTTCATCTAGAGGCAAATTTAAATATCATTACAACTTATAGAAACAATGTATAATCAATGAGATTTCATCTACTAACAGGGCAACGTCGAGAACTCCTGCCTGCTAAATTTGATTTTATTATAGTGCTAATCTTGTATTTTTAGTATATATATATAGATAAACAGATTCTTGTAATTTATATGTTGTAGACTTTTAAAAAATTACTTTATTAAGTTTTAAAATTAACTTGTTCTTGTACATTACTTCTCTTCCAGCCTAGTGGCACACAACGCATTCTGTTAATTGAACATTATAATAGCAGTAATTAATAACATAAGTGTCCTAAATTAATTTTTCATCATTCTAATTAAACGTTGAACAATCCTTCATTCCAATTTTACTTATTACTTGGTCTGAAAAATAATTTTGGCACACTTTAATTCAAACTTATTCGTATCAAAAAACCGTTGTCTGGACTCAAACCTGGGTTACGCTAAGTAAGAGGCAAAGGCTTTTATCCCCTCTAATAAAGTCTTTTATACACTATCACTTATTCTCATTGCATTCAGGAAAAAGTACTGTAATGCTAGAGAGAAAAAAAAATTACGTGGCCTATCATTCTTTATGACTACATGTTACAAAACTACTAATTATAATTCAAATATGAACTGATTCCTGAAAAATAAAAGAACATTAATCTCAAACTTCAAAATGTCCACTGAACTGAAAACTTAACTTCCTAGTGTTTGTTCAAATTATTATATTTATAATTCTATTTATTACAACAAGCGTAAGAAAATTTTTAATATGAAAATTCAAACTTTTCTAACAATTTTAAAAATATGTTGTCTACTTTCATTATTCATTTTTAGTCCATCCCAAATTCTTTAGATAGCTATTTGTCAAACTTATGCAACAATTTTTTGACAATTGGGTTCAAAGTACTATACTTATGATTAATTTTTAGGTAAATACTTTTATCCAGTGTCAATGATAAGTTTATTTATAAAATAAAGAAATAAACTTAAGTTCGTGAAAAAGTAAGAGGATCAGTAACTAGCAATATCAAAACAGGAATTATTATTATAATCATCCAATGCACTGTAATTTGGTCACCATTGCTCTAGAAAGAAAAAAAATTGTCCTTGCTTTACTTTCCATTACCTATACCAAGGATCATTTAGTAATTTAATTCTCTAGTCTTCTTTAAAACTTTCTTCACCTTATTATGCACTTGAAAAAATTCCAGTTTAGGTATTGCTATAAATTACTGATAATGAATAAAAAAAAAAGGTTTTGTACAAAACAAAGACAAAAATTTTCTACATAATTTAAAATAAAGTGAGTAATAAGAAAGTTGCAAGTTAGAAAGAACGTAATAAGTAGCTTTCGAAACTAAGTTTATTTTCTAAATACATTTTTGTTAATTTAAATATATCCCTCAAACAAGTGTGCCCTGAGGATTGAAATCAGTCTTGAGAAAAGATTAATGGATTCTGTTCCATCTTCCAATGGATATTTCCAATTTGTTTTTTAAATTAAGTTCTCAAAAAAAAAAATTTCATCTTAAAAAAATAATTCTTTTCTGATAAAAAAACAAAACAAGATAATACTGTTTATGAGAACATTAGTTTCCATAATTATTGCAAAATGATCAAGTACTGATGTTACACAATGAAAAAATAGGTTTGGCTGAACTTCAACATCTGCTTGAACAAATTTTGTATTATTGAATCTAAATCTGCTAGAGTTATTCTTTTCCAGACTTTTTAAAAGCAAAGGCTGGCAAAGTTAAAATAAGATTTTTTTTAAAAAAAAAAAGTTAAATTTATAGATTTTAAAAAAAATCATTAATGATGAAGTGAAAAAAGCAAAGATAAATGGCACCAAGAAAAAGTTTGACGTGCTGTTTTGTTTGCTGTAAAAAATCATTTAATAAAAATAGAAATAAATTTCCGTTACGAAAACAATAATCCATATCATTGAAATAACACGTGGGCCATTCTGATGGAAAGTGAGCTGTAAATTTCTTTAAAAACTCTGCTAATTAACGCTAGCCAGACTAAATCTGTCAAAAAATAAGTTCAGTTTAAAAATTTCTTCTAAGAAGCTCAAAGTGTAAACACAGGTCAAGTATCAAAACTATCACCTTCAAAAGAAAAGTAAATTCCTTTTCTATTCTAAACTCCATAGATTTTTTTTTCTTAATTAAAAAAAAGTTCTTTGAAAGTTGGCTGGAACAAAATGTAAGATCTAGCAAAGTCTATATTGGAAGTATGAAAAAATTCAACTCTAGATCTTTTAGTAAGTGAAATATATATATTTCAATGATTTCTTCTTAAAATTGCTTTGTAAGACAAGGATGCAAAATATAAATATTGAACCACTAACAACAAAACGCAATAACCATTTAATAACAAACATCTAACACTTTGTTTAGTTAAATTTATTTTCTTTTTCCAGTGAAACACTTCAGGCGGAATGCATTAACCAAATACTTACAACATTGCATATCAGAAGTCAAGTCTATTTCAGCTACAGAAGTCAGGAAGTTAAAATAATAGACTTCCTGTAAACGCACACATTGAGTGGCATAGTTAGTATTCAGACGTGAAAATGATACACCTCTTATTATACATTCATCTACACTGTAGCAAACTTAGTTGTAATTTAATTTGATTTAGACAAGGTCAATAGAAATCTTGCGCTTGAAAGAATATACATACAGTGAGATTTTAAATATATATTTATCAGTTAACTAAAACAAAGTTAACTCATATACAAGGGTCACAATTTACAAAATAATAAGAATTTAAAGCAAATATCAACAGCACATACAATTCTAACAAGAGTAAATATTTTAGAAAGTTACATTCGCTACCTTATACAGAAAACAGAGTTAAACTTTAAAAGAACAAGGTTTAAGTTTCAGATAAACAAGTATTTTAACAAATAAAAAAAAATTTTAAACTTTGGTTGGGAACACACAATAAATATAACTTTGAATAAATGTACAATAATAAAAGTAAAGAGGTACCCAAAACCAATTTTAAATTTTATAAAATAACTCGAGGAGTCAATGGATCAATTAAAATTTTTAAGTGCAGTGATAGAACACCTTTAACAAATTTTACATTTATGAAAGGAAAAACAATGATCTATTGACAAGATGACGAAATGTTAGATTTACAATAATAGTTCATATAATCTATTTCACCATATCCTTTTCAGTTTCATATACACAACAAGTTGCAAACATTTAAATAGTTCTATTTCTTCCAGTGATGGCCCGGTACCTGCAGGCAGATTATCTCCACTAAATAAACAAAACATACTAATATTTGTATCCTACATTCCATAACTTTGATAGCCTGGCATGGGTGGTGCATAAGCTTGATACCCTGCACCAATCATTCCTGGTCCAGCAGTCAGCATAAGTTGCGGTTCCGGGGCTGAAAACAAGGAATAGAGCTTTAAAGTATAAATTTTTTCAAATCTAATGCTTAGTTCTTCAACTTATATTGCGAAAACTGAAACAAATTTAGAGTTTGGGTTAACTTTGCATGGTATTTTCATGGGAAATTTTTTTACAGCCCTTCTTAGCAACAATTGTTTTAATCCTTCCTAAATATTTAGCAATGTAGATATATGCATATAAAACCTGTTATTATTCCTTGAAATCTTACAATAAATTAATGAAAAACTCTGGATATCTTACGATGGAAAAATACAAAACATTAATACTAAACTGTATGTCAACACCCAGCTTGTGACTGACTAAAATATGATTTTTTTTATATGAATATGAAAACATATTTTTAATGCCTTATTGTAGCAAAATATTTCATTTCATAGTGATAAAATTTATTTTCTTCATTTTCTCATTTATTCATTATATTTTATTTTTCATTACTCATTGCACTTATTTTAAGACTTTATTAGGATTTTTTTACCCGCCAAGAAACAGTTAATGCAATACATATAAATATGAATCAAAACATAAAATTTTTAATGACATGTAAGAGTATAAGAAAGAAGCACATTTCAAATATAAATTAACAAGCAAATGATGACAGCAACATTTAAGTGTGTTAATATGCAATTACTGTTATCTAATGATAATCACAAGCATAAAGTTAAATAGCACTGAAACAAATTTGTAAAGCATATTTTGATATTTTTAAAATTTTAAGTTAAATTATTTTATCTGAAAAGAAAAATCAAAAAATCTACAAAAAAATGTTTTAAGCATAATTTAACAATTAAACATTGAAAACTTATAGCTTAAATATTTTTTACCATAAACGATAGGCTTGGCTTCATTTTGCGCAGACTCTTCTAATCTCTGAGTTTCCAATTCTTCTAATTTATCTACCTGTAAATAAAATATATTAAGTCTTAAGAAGATTTATTTTTTAAGCTATTAAACTCAAGCATGTCACAAAATCCCTTCAGCTAAGTAATTTCAAAACAATTAAAATTTATTAAAAATTAAATTTATCAAGAAGTCTTTTATACATTTTTGTAAAAATTTCTTACATAGAAAATTTATTACAAACCCTTTTATGAAACCCTTTTAAATATTTCCATGGTGTTACTTAAGACACTAAAAATAGAGTAAAATTTTAGCAATAAAGTTTATTACACCATATTTAACCCTGTTACGCAGATGGAACAATCCCCTGTATCCCTCTTATATATTTTTTAGACTAATTTCAATCAAGAATATATTTCACAATTTTTAAATCATAAACGGTCTTAACATAATAGGAAATTAAAAAAAATCTTAAAAAATTATCAGAATTATATTTATAATTATGAGAATTATAAATATAAAACACAAAAAAGTAGTTAAAGAAAAAAAATTTCTTATTCACATTGAAAAATTTATCAATAATTGATTTTGTACATTAAAAGAAATTTCAATGATGAATAACTGTTTCTCTTAGATCTAAATAACTGCAAATTTAAAAAAATTTTTGGAAGTGAGCCTTGTTTGTAAGATTTAACCTTTAATGCAAAAAGACATTAGTGTTTCATACTGCATTTCATAACCATAAATTAATAAAGAACTAAATATAATATATTTTCACTTATTTTGGCCTAAAGCAATACAAAATAATGAAAAATATATTTAATAAAAATTCTCAGTCAGAGGAAAAGAAAAAATTTTTTTTTTAGTTTTTAAAATTCTACAAAAAAAACATTTTGGCATGCAATTTATAATTTTGTATACATTTTCAACTCTTACTTTAGAAATATATTCCCTCATGACTTGTATCAGGTATGGCATAGCAAAGTCAGTGATGTTATGTCGCCAAGACAATTCCAAAATAACATCAGGATGCAAAAGGTCATAGCATTGAAACAAACAAGCTGAAAAACACTCAAAATTCTTCTCATCCAAAAACCAGGAGAGGAGCTCTTCTGCAACTTCAGCCATTTTTGATTCAGCTGCATATTCCATCGCATCCTTTAAAGATCATTTAAAAATTAACTTTATTGCACTAAATTTGAGAAATAAAACATATCTATAATATATACATAAATTTATAACCTTGAATAGGCGATCCTTTTTACAAAGTTCAACAGATTGTTTCCAGCGATTATTCCCTTTGTACAGATAAGCAGCTATTCGCCTAAATTCTATCAGCTCGTGTTTCTCTAATCGCTGAGCTAATGCAATGTTGTCAAAATTGTCGAAGGCATCAATTGAAGTACGAAGTCCCTGGAAATCCTCTTCCTCAATGAGTAATCCGTTCAATGCTTCATTAATGGCTTTGTTATTAAGACTTTGAACTGATCGAAGATACGGTTTAATGAGAGGGAGGTGATTGACCTAAAAAACAAACACTCAAATTGTTTAAAATAAATGAAAAAAAATTTACAATTCATAAAATATATATAAAAAAATGGAACATCTAACTTTTATAGATCTAAATTTCTCTTACAATGATGCAATATCATAGCTTGAAAAAGCTATTAGTTTCAGATTTCAAATCTCAATTTGAAAGATATAGTCAAAATAATTTATTTAAGAGAGCAGTATCAAGTTTGAGTTCATAAACCATAAATGTTGATTTACTTTAAATTTTGCACATAATTATAAAACACATTTATCCAAGGATACTTCTGAGCACAAAATACAATTTTAAAATTTCAATGCTTACAATAATTTAATAATGATAAAAAAAGATTAGGAACCATAAGATAATAAATTTTTTATTTAGTTTTAAGCTATGTTATTTCAATATTGAAGGGGGGGGAACTGAAATTCAGGCAAAAGAGATCTTAAAATTCTAGAAAAATAACATTCTATCCAAATTCATATATTTTACAATTCAAAAATTTCTTTAATATTAAACAAAAATAATTTTAAAAAAATGTAACACAATATTATCTTAAAATAAGTAATATAATTGCATAAAATTTTAGTTTTGTTAAAAGAAATTCGAGATTGTCAAAATTTAAAATAATAGATGAATAGAAATTAACAAAGGAATTCAAATTTTTCACCATAGTTCCAACTAAATTAATGGGGCAATGCATTACTGATTGTGGATTCCTCTATACTTAAGGTCATAAAACCTGAATCCCCTGCTCATGAAAAATTAAGTACGTTCCTTCAAAGGAAGTACATTTTTCAAACAATTTCATATTGTCTTATTTATTATTGTATCTACCCCTCAAACAATGTGAAAATTCAATAATTACCTCAAAATTTTTACAGTTTTACATTGGAGCAGAGAATATAATACTGAGAATCAATGAAATTTTATGAAGCTTATTTCCTAAGTCAAAAATGTTTTTTTTCTCTCCAAATTTTAGAATTTAAAATTAATTAGTTCATATATATTGATATTTAATACATAAATTACACATTACACAATAGTTCAATATATATTAAATATAAATTACAAAACCTGACCTCAGACTTTTTTTAGAAGAAAAAAGTTAACTGAACATGAGAAAAATTATAGTTTATAAGCAAACTATAAAATGGATTTGCCTTCACATGATATGAAACACTTAAAATAAAGAATCTAAGAAAATCATAATTAGGAAATCTATAAATAACTAATTCCTTTTAGCTTAATATTTTAATTCAATGATGCAAAAAATTTTAAAGCAAAACATGCACACTATTGTTTTGTTATAAAAATTCACAGGAAGGCAAAATGTCGACCAATCATTTCTGTAAAATGTAACAATCAGAAATTGAAAATACTAGATGAGACCATGTGAAAGATTAATTTAAATTGAAAAATGACAAACATGAAAAATTATAAATAAAATTTAAGGAAATAAAAAGCATTATCAGAATTTCTGATAGTTAATTATTTTTGTAACAAGCATCCTTTAACTGTCAAGCAAAATTCTTTAAACCATTAAAATATGTTACTATAGCAAAAGTTTATTTTTTATTTACACCATCCCACTATTTTTTTATTTTCATTTATTATTTTTTTGGATCAATGAATTTCTTGGCCTAACATTAGGTAACATTTTCATTTTCAGNAAAATTATAGTTTATAAGCAAACTATAAAATGGATTTGCCTTCACATGACATGAAACACTTAATATAAAGAATCTAAGAAAATCATAATTAGGAAATCAATAAATAACTAATTCCTTTTAGTTTAATATTTTAATTCAATGATGCAAAAAAATTTTATAGCAAAACATGCACACTATTGTTTTGTTATAAAAATTCATATGATGGCAAAGTGTCGACCAATCATTTCTGTAAAATGCAACAATCAGAAATTAAAAATATTAGATGAGACCATGTAAAAGCTTCATTTAAATTGAAAGATGACAAACATGAAAAATTATAAATAAAATTTAAGGAAATAAAAAGCATTATCAGCATTTCTGATAATTATTTTTGTAACAAACATCCTTTAACTGTCAAGCAAAATTCTTTAAACCATTAAAATATGTTACTGTAGCAAAAGTTTATTTTTTATTTACACCATCCCACTATTTTTTTATTTTCATTTATTATTTTTTTGGATCAATGAATTTCTTGGCCTAACATTAGGTAACATTTTCATTTTCAGTTTGAAAAAATAAATGTAAACAATTGACGAGGAAAATTAAATGCATAAAATTATTTAGTTTAAAATCAAAACTAAAAGAAAAATGCTGCAAATCGATTACCTTAGTGAAGAAATTAACAGCACGGGTATGGTCCATTCTCGGTGATAAAACAATCAACAAGTCATTCAACAGCAGAGGCTTATAATCCACATAAAACTGAATAGCCTTGTAATATAACTCTATATTTGCGACTTTAGTAATGATTTCTTTGAAATGTCCTTCACGCCAAGCTTCGGTGGGATGGCTCATCATAGTAACAACAGCATTATCATACTCTTCGTATTTATCGTAGAGAAACACCAATTCTGCCCAAAGGTGAGCTTGCTCTGCAGCTCTGAGCACCTAAACATTAATAAGATTGCAGGTGAATTCATGTTATTTAAGTAAATACATACTCATAACGTAACACAAATAAACTCATACCTTTGGTATGTTGACACGTGACCAAAAGAGTTCCAAATGTTCTTTCATTTTTGAAGGTTTATATTTAGAATACAAAATACCCAATTCAGTAAACATTCCCATGTGTGCCCGTTCCAATCCTACAAATACAAAGAAAAAGAAATTATGTAGATAAATAACACAATCTTAAAAATTAAAAGCATATATTGAGGCTATAATCACAGATATAAAAGATAATCACAGCTGTAGAAAACAGATTATAACTTAATAGTAAATAGCACTTGCAAATAAAATATTATACTTAATAAATCTTAAATCAGCAAGAAAATATTTGAGACAATCATTTGTACCAAAACAATTTAAAACGTACAAATTATAAAGAATTAAGTGCTGAAATTCTATGCTTTTCAAAATAAAGAAATGCAGATTAAGTAATGAAAATTTTGAGAACTTAAACAGATGGCAAATTATAACCTATGTAGTTCAAAATATATATTTTTATGAGTATGTAACTGCAAATTAATTCACTAGTTATCTTTAGCAGAAAGTTTAACAACTTTTGTAAGAAATAGAGCTAGCTTAGAATTTATCAGAATTAAGTCCTACCACACACATGGCAGTCACTTTCATCACTGAATATAGTACTTTAAATAGGCATTAAAAAGAAAATATATAGATAAAAGGTATTAAAAAATAGTTTACTATTTATAGCTGTGAATTTTAATGAAATAATTTGGTACACATACTTGACAACCACTATTTTTGAAAACTTGGTTTTATACAGAACATTTCTTTAAATGTATGAAGTCTTTAAAAAAAAAATACATTTAAAGATTTCAAATAAATAATTAAGATAACAAGTTGACCAGATTTGAATTTTGAAAATTACACGATTTTGCTCACAGGTACATACAGTGAAAAAATATAAAAATCAAAATAAGTTTTGATATTTACAGGTACTTAAGCAACAATAAAATTGTACATTATCTACATACTAAAGAAAAAATTTATGCAAAATTATATAATTAATAAAATTATAATTTGGAAGTTCATCAAAATGATAAGAAAAAAAAATCTAATGTTTTAAACCATTACTTAAAGTACATAAACATTAGTACTCTTGAAGCTTTTGGTGGCAAAAAATGAAATAAAAAGTACAAAAAATTATGTTGTCACGGCAATTTAGCAAACAAGAGGAAAAAAATTACTGGTCAAAATTTTAATAAGCTCATCTTTTTAACACCACTTTCTAATTAGTAATCAGACTATCTAAGATTCTTTTCGCCTGCTAGTTGAAATGGTAGGTTCTGAACAAATAAAAAAGATCAGGAATACCATGACAATCACACTAAAAAAACAAAGACACCATTTTAATCCTGTAAAGGGGCTGAAATAGTGTTCATTTACTTTAGCATATTCTTTGTCTAAGTTTTTGTCATTGAAATTCTTAAAGTGAATTCAAGCACACTGAACATTCAAGAGTAGATTGAAGATTTAAAAAAAAAAAATGTCTAGAAAAGAGTTGAAACTTTCCAAGAGAATGGAGAGCAAGAATACTTCACTTACACTAACTCAGAAATTGTTTGAAAACTGTGTGCTTTAAATTCTAATATATTTTAAAAGTTAAGCTTTGAGTCTAGTTAGTTCTATGCAAATAGTGAAGGAAATATTCATAGATGATAATACTTTTTAAATACAATAAATATTCATATATTTGCTATATCTCAGATTTTCAAATCCATGACTTTTCATGACTAATTCCAAGAATTTTTCATGACTTAACGAAGTTACTATTTTCTCCGACAAAAACACAACAATAAATTTAATAAAGCATTATAATAACATTAATTGAAATGATAGGTATAACCAAAATTGTTACTTCATATTTATAGACTTTAAATTTAAAAAAACAGAGTAAAGAAAGAGTTGAAGTAATAAAATAGCTGGAAAAAAAAAACAATTTTTTTCTTTTTTTCTGCAGAATTATATTTTAAATATACTTTTCTGGTTCATCGAAAAGGAAAGAAATACTCCTCATTTTTCTGTTCTCATTTCTGAATTTAAAAAAATTTGCCAATGGCTGGCTTGCTTCAGCTAAAATTTTAAATTTATTAAAAAAAAAAATTCTGAAATCACAGAAATTTAAAAAATATTTTGCTCTAGAAATGATACTTTTCTTTCATTTTTTTAAATATTATAATTTTTAAAGAATATGATAAAAACATTTTATATTTTAATAAAATATGACTGAGTGGGGATTTAGTTACAAATTCAGATATTCAGAACATCATTAAATTGGGGGGAGATAAATTCCATTTTAAAAATTAGATTTTTTGGCTACCTAAATCCATGACTTTCCATAATTTTTTTTTTAAAAAAAATTAGTTCAAATCATGACATTTCATGACAAATTCTGTTCAATACCGAAATTTATGACTTTCCATGATTTTTCATCACTTTCAAGGTGCGCAGATACCCTGCATATAGTAGTAGCATGTGAAATACAACAGAAGTTATAAAATTTAAGTGAGGCAGAAAAAATAGCTTGAATAGATAAAAGAACAAAAAAATTTTATTATATATACTAAACAATTCTCATTGTTTTGTCTTTTATACGATGAAACATTCAAGACAAAGGTTTTCTTCAATAAACTCATAACCTGATATTATATAGAAACTGACTTACCTAAAGCTGCTTCTAGAAGACTGATTAGTTCCTCAAAATACCCTCTGTCTTGATAGTAATTAATAAGATCTTCAAGTTCATCAGCGTGAACAACAATATGAAGACCACACATCTGGGCAAGTCTGAATTCTTCATTATCAACACAAGCAAAACATACCTAAAAAAATAAAAAACCTAGGTAAGAATAAAAAAAATATCTACAATATCTAAAAAATGGTAGACCCAAAAAATTTTAACCCCTAGACAAATTTTATGAATTTTATCAAAATATAAGAACATGAATTTTGTTTTAATGCATTACAAAGTATCCTTTATATACCTTAAAATAATGCCAATCTTAAATCATTGTTTTAGCGAATGAACAACAATGCATTTTCAAAGTTAATTCCAATGGCATCGTATATTTTTTCTCACACAACAAATATACTTCCTTCAGCTATGTCAACATCCCCAGGTGCTTTTCAAAACACCTTTAACTAAAAATTATAGTCTCAAACTCATGTATTAAGATTCTGCCCATCACTTCAAAATTTGAGCATTCTTAATTTATTAGGGCAATGTATATAGATTGAGAAACATCTGGATGATTCTTTTATCTTAAAAATAATAATAATAATAAATCAGTATAGTCAATTCCTTGCATATTTACACTTTTCAATCGCATTTAAACTAAAAATGAACATGGATGAAGGTTTCGTGCATGCGTATCACTTCAAAGTTAATATGAAAATCTAGTTCTAACTAAAACAGCCAGGCAATTTTTTACCTTATAAAAACTATTAATGTAGTAAAATTTCTTACAAATTAAAATAAAGCAATCTCGTTTAAAATTAAACAACAAAAAAAAGTCAAAACCATTGCTTTTCCCACTCTCCCGATCATTACATTATATTATCACATTTATTTCCAGCAAATGCAATTTGAATTACCTCTTTCCAAGTTCTAGTTGAATTAGCTTTCCTTGCACTGTCCACTGCACCCTGAAATTCTTTTAAGTGAACCAATGTAATTGCTAATCTAGCAAAGTTGGAAACATTATTATACAACAGTTTAGCAGGTTCATAAAGACCATCTTCAAAGCATCGATCACCAATCTGTAAGGATAACAATGAATTAGATAAAACAATTCACTCAAGTTTAAATGCAATTTTTAGTTTGAGTATTAATATCAAACCTTTTGAATATCAGCATGATTAGGGCCAGATATAAATTCTTCTAAATCAGCTAATCTGTTTGTTTTTGCATAAGCATAAATCAATTCTGATTCAACATATGATTCTCTAGCTTTCTTCCTAGCCATCTGCAAGTAACGTACTAAATCTTCCCAGCTCTCTATAAAATTGAATGAGATTATAATAATTATGTTTAGAAAATCACTTATTAAAAATTTATATATTTTTTAAAAGTAGTAATACACAATTGTATTTGCTAATAGTACATAATTCAAGGAAAAAAATTATTAACAAAGAATACAGAATTTCTTTACTATTAATACAAATCAAAGTATCAGATGTTTCATGTAGAACTGCAACTAATCCTATGATATAAAAAATTATAGAATTTAAAAGTTGCATTATTCAATTAACCACAAAATCTCAAGTACCTGCATCTGAATCATGACATTCTAATACATAATTTAATTTAAATCTGTATTTAAATGTGGGTCTTCAGCATGGCTAAATGTTTACATTTAAAATTTAGGTTGATTAACTACAAAACAGTGAAGTTTAAGTTCACTTTTTAACTTAGCATTTGTTAAAAAACATTTCCCGAGACTTCAAATGTCTGTCATCCATTGTTCATACAGTTGCCAGACTTTCAATTTAACAAAGCATGATCAACCATTGTCAAAATACTAAGTTTTATCTTCAAATTATTCTTAAAAACTTTTTTTACCACAGCTAATTTTTGTGATTTTTCATAGAATAGTTAAATTAAGACATTGTTATCTTTCAATTCATACTTTATCTAAAAATATGAATTTGATACATCTATTTTACAGTTTATAATATCTATATATCATCTATTTTGTAGCATGATTGATTATGTTACAGGATTTTAATTTCTGTTATAACATAAAATTTTATATAACTTTTGACATTCACTTTTCAACTATGTTATTTTTTCAATGAAAACCATAATGCTAATTCTAAAAAAAGCTCAACAATGCCTTCTTATCACCTGTTAGTGAGTACATGGGATTTATTTATTAGGTATATATTTATAAAAATTATTGTAACCTTTATCAGCACTATACTGAAAAACAGTTAAGTTTTCTTAATAGGATATTTAATCTAATTAAATTATACTTTTGTGAACAAATCTTACAAGAGGGAGATTTGTTCTCAAATTATAAAAAATACTATATAATAATAATACTCAAATGCCATAAATAAATTTTCTATTTTATTTATAGTATTTAAATCATATACTCAAATACTATAGATAAAATTGCAATAAGAGTAATAGGCAGTAGGACCTTTTGAGCAAGAGTATACTCACTTCAGTTCAACTTTAGCATTACTAAAGATCACAAAAAAAAAAACACTTTTTTACTGCATTATTTTTCACTACACATGCTTTTGTTAGAATCAATGCTTTTCATGTGTGAAAAAAAAATTAAGATTTTATATTCCAGTTAATTGAATTAAAAAAAAATGAAAATGTTTATTAAGCCTAAATAAAACCACATCTTTTCAAAGTAAACAAAAAAAAAAATTACAAAAAAAAAAGTTTTGTTTAGGTATTAGAACAATTATCTGTGGTAGTATAAAAAGTTCAGTAAAGCAACAAGTGACTTGTTTCATCTTTCTTTAAGAAACTATTAGGAAGGTATTTCAAAAGTTTGTCTATCTTTGCTTATCAGTGTTAATAAAATACATTTCCCGAAATTATAGATATAAAATTTAATTAAACAAAAATATGAATAAAATACCATTTTCATGAGCAGTTTGAACTACATCTATGAATGAAGAAGGATCACCAGCTTTAATGTAAGAATCAATAGCTTCTTTTACCATGCCCTGTTGCAATTGAGCTTGAGCCAACAAACTCCAAACTGCTGGTTCATTACACCGTTCTGCAAATTCGTAAGCTCTATCCAAATTTTTAATGTGTTCAATAAGCACCTTTTTTAAATAAATAAAAAACTCAATTAAAACTATCCATAAAAGAGTTAAGTACAATTAGCACAAGTTTATATCATAAGGATCAAAACAGATTATACTCAATATACCTGAATAGCAGATGTGTTAACATCAAATTTCTTGAAAATAGCAAATGCTTCTTCATACAATTCACTGCCAATGGCAATATTGGCAATATCAGGAGCATCATAGTTGTCCAAACGATTAATGTACTCCATCACTCGGGTGCGATCAGCTTTTATAGCAGTTAAAATTAATAAGTTTTGTAGATTCCTAAAAATTAAAACACTTATCAATTAAAGTGACATATTAAGGAATGAATGTGAAACAAATATTTCAAAAACATGTTATTTATAACCTAAATTGCATTATGTTTGATAAAGCACATTTTTTTTTAGATATATTATTAAATTTAATAACTGATTAGCTTAAAGATAATCTTAAAGGACATTATTAAGCTTATTTTCGTATAAAATTTGTAAACTTTTACCAAATTTTAAACTTGCTTCTACATAAGTATTTTGCTTAATTTTTTTTACTGGTTGCACTCCCAAAAACAGTAAAAACTTTCTACAAACCAGTAAAAAAACAGCAAAAATTCGTAAGATTTCATTGCATCTGACTTTTATCACAAAAAAACATTTTTCAACAAGTATATTAAATTTTCCTACACTTCAACATTCTGTATTCAACATTTAATATTAATGAAATTTACAACCATAAACCATGCTGAAATAAACATCAAAATCTTTAATTATGGCTGAAAATAAATATGTATTTCAGAATATAGAACAGATTTTAAGCTTGAAAGTAACCAAGTATTTTCGTGTCAAATCATGCAGCATTCTCATCTTTCTTAATTTTGTTTCAATGTTGATTTTCCGAGGAGAGCTATTTAGTAAAAATAACTAATAAACAATAACTAATTAACAATATTTTTCTCTCTAAATGTAAAATTGCTCAAATTTACGATGAAATCTAGCACTTTGAAAAGTTGATACTCAAATGCCAGATTCATAAGTTTTACATCATTCATTTAAAAACAATGATTCAATCAAATTGAATGCAATAAAAATGGGACAAAAATATCCCACATTAATTTAATATTTCTTCGTTAACAAATAGAAATTCAAAAAATTTATGTTTTTAAAAAAATTAAACAGCATTTTTGGGAAAACCAAACAATCTCTTAAGTGCATGCAATTTTTAAAATTATTTGTTGCATTATGAATTTATTGAGGACTTTTCAGTCTTAAGGTGTCTAAGAAGTTCTGAAACAAAAAGGAGGACGCTAGTAAGAGAGGAAAAAAACTTCTCATTAACAGTATTTTGTGAAAGCTACTAAATCTAAATTTCAGATTAGCAGAACTCCAAGAACATTCTGTCTGAAAAAAAAAAATTCTGATTCACGGAAATCCCCGAATCAGTTTCACAGAGTTTTGTGAATTAGTAGAAAAATCAGATGCCTGGTTACAATAAGAAACGTTTATGTTGCATTCCTTTTGTGCGCCTAAAACAATTTATTTTGATTTATGCATGAATTCTGAACACAGGCCTAAACAGTAAGCTTCAAAATAATATTTTCAACAAGACTAATAATCCAGATCAAATATTCACTTTATTGGAAAAGTATAATTAAAAATTATTGATAATCAAGACAAGAACTACAAACGTAATAGTAACTTACCTATGATCACTGAAGACTGAATTTTCAAGAACTATCTTTTCAAGGAGTTCAATCAGTTCATTTGGCAGATCAGCAGTCATGAAGGCCTTCACTGTTACAGATATATCTTCCGGATCTTGTGTTTCAGACAAAGCAGTTTGTACAACTTGATCAATCAAAGGCCTCCTAAATTGGTTGTTTTCATTTAAAACTTCAGCCCAGAGTTCAGAATCCCGCCTTTTTACCAAATATCTAGCTTCACTTTTAAAGAGAGAGTTCTCATTGCACACTTTTATTAATTCTCTGTCACATTCACCGCGTTCATACGCTATGCAGGCTAGGTGAGGATCCCTTTTTTCACAGTATTTACCAACAACCCTGCTATCATAAAACTGATTCTCCCTAGAATAAATGTAATAAGTCTAATTAATAATCATGTTTAAGGCTAGATTTAACTATACTTAATTCCTTCTTACATAAACATATTAAAGATATACAATTATTAAACATTTTTATTCAGTTTCAAAATCTAGCAGTTTAAAACCACTAAGTCTCTGTTAAATTATTTTTATGAATAGAAATCTCTCAGATTACATTTAAAGCAACCTAATGTTTTGTTTGCTTTGACATATGACACTACTCTGTGCAAGAAATATATGATAGATATAAATTAAATTTTAGAAAAACAGATTTAATAATACATAACAATTTGAACATCCAAATCTAATAAAAACGTGACTAGGATTTCTTTCCGAAGAATTCCAATTTTTCAGGAAAGTGGAAAAACCTGGTGAGAAAAAAAAATTAAAGAAACTGATCATGGAAATGACTAATAAATTTTTTCAGCCATGAGCATTATAAGAATAGTTTTAATTTTAATATAATAAGTGAAAATTAAAAGTTTTTTCAATCTTTTTTCTTCAAATCATATGCATATTACAGTTTTATACAAAAATTTTCTTTAAGTTAAGATTCAAGTCTTCTTTTAATAAATAATTATACAAATAATTTTGATATAAATGAACTTCTTTCATTTATATCAAAATTATTTGTACTCATATTTTTAGTTAAATTAATATTCTGTTTTAGAGTAGATTTATTTTAAAATTATATAAATGTTTAGAATATTAATTTGAAAAAATTAAGGATTTTCTCAACTGGTTAAATTTTTATATTTTTTCATGCTTATGTATTTTTCAATAAATTTATTTCGTTCTTATAAAATTATCAAATGTGAAAAAGAACTAAATTTTTTGATTTGCTATGACGCATTATATTGTTGAAAATTTACAAGTTATACTTTATAAAATAAATTAAATTCTAAAATATTCATTTTTACATAATTTTCAGTTCAGAATATTAAAAAGCTCTAACATTTGAAATTTTATAAATTTAGCAGTTAGAAATTAGAACTGTTGAAAATTCTAATTTGTTAATAAAATTCCAGACTAAAAATCCTTAAGTATATATTTTAACTCAAAATATTTCTAATATTTCATAAATATTGTACTAAAATTACCTGTAGCATATCAGAAAGATATTTAAAATATTTATGTTCAACAGTATATAATTACGAAACTTAGTATTATAGTAGTAACTGTGATATATGCTATTTGTAGTTGTGACTGGGGTGTATGTGACTTGTTAATTTATTGCACTTTAAAAAAAACATGATATTTATTTCTTTAAATAATCATAAAAAATAAATTCTACAATTTCTTAGTTAAAACATTTAATAAAATTTTTTTAATTTCTTAAGAAATTCAAATTTTATTATTTTTTTTAAATTTTTACTAGTTTAAAAAACTAGTACTATTTTTTAAACTAGATTAAAACTTCAATTTGTTTTTTAAAAAAAAACTAATATTTTTTTAAAAAGATTTTCTTCCATTTAGGCTGGATAAAACTTATTTCTTCAAGGAAGCTGCTTCCCCCCTCCAGATGAAACTTGGCATCCATGGTTTAAAGAGACAAAAATCATTTTAAAACACATTCTTAGTTTGACTATAGTAAGGAATAAGTAAGTAGTTGCAAGCTAACTTTTGCAGATTAAGAAAAAACTTATTTTTTTGACAAATCTATACAACTTTAAGTAATGTTATAAAATATATGATTTATAATACACTAACTTTAAGAATCTCTCTGGATTATTATTGGAGTCTATGTATATTTTCGCAAGAGCATTATGAGTGGCAGGCTCATTGCAGCCTTCGTGGACTCTCGTCTCTAGCCATGGTAACAGGAGTTTCAGCCTGTTCCTTTTTTCAACTTCTTCAACAAGTTCATCAGTTGAGAACTGCCCTCTCACTACCATTATCAATGATTTAATTACATCTTCAGAACAATCTACATCTAATAAGCCACCAATCACAACAGGAAGACGAGATGGATTTACCTACAAAAAGTTTAATATGCAGTAAATTAATGGAAAATAAATAAAGTCTAGAAAGATATAATTAATAAAATATTGTTAATTACCTTTTGAACATAAATTTCAATGTACTTTTGTAAATTATTTCGATAAAGGTAAAGGACGAGGTCATGCACAAAATCAAATCTGTCACAGACTATAATCAAAGGAAGTTGATCAGTAAGCTTTGCTTCTTTAAGAAAATTTTTAACTCTTTCTGGGTTGTAACAGTTGCTCTCACGGCAGATTCGCTCTACTTCTTTGATTTGACCAGTTTTACAAGCAGACTAAAAAATAAAAACCATTGTAGAGAAAAAAGCATATATAAATATTTATTATCAAAGAAATAAACTCCTGTTACCTGTATATATTTGAAATGAACTTCTGGGTCTTGACTAAAGTTTACAATAGATCCCAAGAAATAGAATAAACCTGAAAAATATTAACTATTTAGGCATATAAAATGAAAGTTGATTATATTATTAATTATTGTCTCTCTTATGTTAATAAAGATATTCATAATATGATAAATAATTTTAGATGCATGAAAAATAACTAATTTTTGGATGATTAAATGTAAAGGTTGATGGCACAAGTTTTATTAAGCCACAATGCAGAAAATATTGCATGGCAGCTGGAAAGAAATGAAAGAAATACCAGATTATGAAATCAACTAATGAAAACTCAAAATAAAAATGAAATCAAAAAAATTCTTTTGAAACCTGTAACTCAATTTTAATGTAAATGAGCAGCACTGCTTTTTATAAAACTCAATTGAATATTTTAAAAGTTTTATAGGAAAACTAACAAAAAAATATGCCCAACTATTATAGGATGAGTACAGTCCTATTATAGAAGGTGATTAACTTATAGGCTGCATAGGGCAAACAAATAGTCGTATAAAATTCATTACCAGAAACATCAGCATATACTGTTAAGGCAGCATTGAAAGGGGAACATAGATAGGCGAGGAAATGAGATACTAATGGTTTGTCCGCACAGCATCAACTATTATACCTCTTAAAAGTACCTAAGAACAAATTTTAGTAAAACCTAGATTTGTTAGACTTGACACTGTGGATACACTAGTCCAACTGCATATTTATAGACAAATTCAGACACTAATCAATACACATAGTAAAAGCTTGACTATCAGTAAAGAGTCTAACCTTCTGAATATGCAAAGTATACTAGAGTGCCAAAAATTTAAATTTTTCAAATTATTTTCTGGGGGGGGGGGACAGGGCCTAATAAAAACATAACAATGAACAAACAGTGTATTTAATGAGTCTTTATAGATGCTTATGTTTACTTGCTATTTTTTTAAAAGTGTTATACAGCCAGTGTATCACATTTGCGTTAACAACCTAATATTGAGACAGTGACACTTACCTTCATAGCTTTTAAAGGATTCAAATAAGTCAATTAGAGAGGTGGTGGTCAGTTGCTCATGATATTTTGTGGCTACCTGGACACATATTTGTAGATTTTGACGAATGTTGTGACTTAACATAGCTTTTAAACATTCAATAGAATCTTCAACTGATAAGGAGCCAAAATAGTTAACCAGCCACTAAAAAAAAATTCAAAATATTGAGGGAAAATCTGTTTTAAAACAAAAAATGTTTTGACAAAATTAAATTTTATAAGAATGAACATAAAAATCTTCATGTTGTAAGAAATATAAATATAAGCAATATAAATTAGTGCTTTTCAGAAATAGTCTAATATTATATTTTAAATTGGTAATGACTAATATCAACAGTTAGAAATTGAACAAGAAGTAGCATTTGCTAGAACTAATCGAAGAAACAATATCAAGTTCTAAACTTCGAAGTCTTATCTGCTAGTAAATAAGTAGGTGCAGAAACTAAGCCTTAATTGTAAAAACATCTCTTAAGCTAAAATTAAAATTGCAATATCCTTTTAAAGTTAAAATTGCCCTATTCTAGACTCAAGTTCCTAGTCCTTTCTAGAGATACATCTGGTGTGAAGATTATAGTGATAAAAAAAAGAGGCATTTTATTAGAATTACCAGGTTTATCATTGAAGTGTATTATTTTTTGCCAAATACAATTAAACATTCTTTGTGGTATATTAGTCTTTAAATAACCATTGTCCAAGCTGTGTAGAAGAGTTTACAGAGTCAATCTGCAGCAATCTTCATAAATTCAAACATGTCTGTGACCATAACACAAACAGAGACTAGTAATGTAAAAACTATGCTTTATCTAATATGTATATTGCAAAATTAGCACATGAAGTAGGATAAAAAAAATTTAACATATGCAAAAAAAAATATTTAAAAATTGTTAATCGAAAATTATTAAACACTTTTAAATGAAGGGTATAATAGAGTATTTGAAATTTAAAAAATCAAATTAGTACCTATACAATCGAAAAACAGTTATAGTTTTCTTATTTATTTTTTTAACTCTATTTTTAAAAATTAAAGTTAAAGAGCATTAGTTAGAACTTTTGAAAGCCATCAGTTTGTTTTATCTGAAGAGTAACGGAGAAAGTAGGGGATTTAAAAATAATTTTATTTTTCCTCTCAATAATATTTTAGGCTTGTTTTTTAAATCTGTCATTAAAAATAATTTGCAGATGCTCTGATAATCTGCAAATCTGTATTTGTGTATTGTAAATTCGGCACATCCTTAATGATTTACACAGGTCACATGTACATTAGATTTATTTTAAAAAAGAGTGTCCTATGGCAAAAAATTTACTTCATGTAAAAACTTCATGTTGTTACTTTAATTAGAGTAGCGGAAAAGATTAAACACTTTATTAACATTTAGTTACATATTGATTTTAAGAAAACGGAAGTTTAAACAATTTTCACGAATATTTTTTCATGAAATAAACAACTTATAACTGAAACTTGAGTGTATGTAACTTGTAATATATAAAATTTGTGCATATATAACTTGAAAATAAGTACTTGTAGGTAAAAAAAAAGTCAACTATTTTGTTTATTTTTATTAAGTTTTTCTCCCAAGCCTAATTGATATCTTATTTTAATACCCCACAGAAATATTTTTTCAAAACAGCAATTTAATTCTAACAGCTTAAAGAAGCTTAAATCATTTAACTTTTATCAATTTTAAATTAATATAAAAATGAACAGTTTGCACTAAACTGCATAAATAAGAAAATCAAGTTTGCTCTAAATTAAGTGAAAAATTATAGCATTACTCAATTAATGAGACCAAATTTTCATTTAATAACTTAAAAGAATTAAATTGCTCAAAACTAAGTTTTTACTACAGGGTTAAGAAATTAAATACCACTAAGAATTTTTTTTTACCTCTGAATTCAAAAGATGAGTATGCACAATTGCTCGCTTAATATCATACAAGTCTGTATAATGTTCCAACGCCTAAAAAAAAGTAAAAAATTAAAGTATGATAATATTTCTAAAATATTAATTGAAACAGTTGAAATCTAAACAATGACACTTACTCGCTGTAACAATCCAGCCTTTTCACACAGTTGAGCCACGTGAGCTCTATCATAATGAGTAAACATCTGATTACCTAATATAGCATCAGCTACCTGTAAAAACAAATCAATTACAGTTTAAGCTATATTCTAAAGCAATGAAATATAGATTTGTATAGTATTTCTTTAAGTTTAATACACAGATATACACACAAGAAGTGGGATAAAACAGGTCTGAAGCCTTGGAAAAGGACATCAATGTTTCCTCAACCATACTTGTCAATAGAACGATCATCCAAGTGACACAAAATCGAAGTGCTCCAGCATAAAAATTTGGGAAAATCTGGCAAAAATATCCTGGTGAAATCTTAAGTCACATGCAAAAACAGAATTATTTCTCTAGACTAAAAAAAATAGGCCTAGGGATTTTTTCAGTTATCACGGTTCGGTCAAGGGAAAACTTAAAAAATGTTCATTCTTACATCAATCAATCTAAAAATAAAATCAAAAGGCTGATGTGAATAAAATGTGAGAATGAGTTTAATTTTGAATAGTAAATTAAGAACTTAGGATTAAAAAAATAACATTAGTTAAAAATATGTTACACACATATAAATTAAAATTAATACATAAGGGACAAGTCAATTTTTTCTCTCCCATTATTTGCCTCTAAACATTGAAACCAGAGGTGCAATATTTAATTTAAAGCAAAACCTCTTGAAAGGATGATTATATTTGAAAACGTTTAGGAATAGATATAATACCCTTTTTGGAATTAAACATGCAAACTAGTAATTGGAAGAAAAACTTCTATAAATGAGTCATTTAGGTAGCATGTCACTTTTTGAACTGAAGGACCTCTGTATTCCTTTCAATTTTTTGAAAATTACTTGAAGCACATAAAACATTAAAAGATATACTCAAAATCTGAATATTAGACTTAGATCCTGCTGACTACTTCTATCAACTACTTAAAATCAGACAATTAAAAATCTCAGGATGGAAAAAAAAAAATGGTTTTGAGCACCTGCTCAAGCTTTTTTACATTATTTTTCTCTCTCATACACATGATACTTATTGTGCCACCTTGCATAACAGTTTGGTGATATAAAAATATTTAACAATCCCAATATCCTTACTTTAAAAAAAAAAAATTCAGTGTTGATTAGTCTAAATATGTTTTCACTGTAAAGCATATACTTGGTTAATAAAAGTTCAAAATAATTCTGATCTTGAATTCTAAACATAAATTGTTATCTGAAAAAAAGTCTAAATTTCTTTTCTAAGTTTCAAAAAAAAAAAAATATTACCCTGATGAAAATGAACTAAAAACTTTATTATTGTCACACTTAGCATGTGATCAGCATCTGAGTAATTACTTTTTGCCAAGCTTTATTTCAACAAAGTTCAAATGCTTCTGTCAGTTTTTTTTTTTTATNTCATATTAAATATTATATTAAAGTATGCTGTTGAAGTAAAGCTAGCAAGAATCCTACATCACATTTTTTTTTATTAAGGATTTATTTATTTTTTAAAGACCCATATTTTCCTTAGTTGGTCTAACTCCATTGGCAACAATTCAGTGTAAATGCTGCAGTAGTACTCATTATCACCCTTCTTTTTAAAAACAGATGAAGAAAAAGGATAGAGGTCAAGCAGAAAAAAGGAGGAATTAGCATAATATGGTCCAAAGGACTGATGAAGTTTTAAAATTTCAAATTTTAGACTTTACAAGACTGAATTATTTAGTTGGAATATAAGTTTCTGTTAAGTAAAAATTCACAACTTAAAAGATCTTAAATTCCTAAATTCAGTGTATGCATTTGAAAATGATACTTAATCATTTTCAAGTACATACACTGATTCACTGAATTTAGGAATTTAAGATCTCTTAAGATATCGCTATTGTTTGAAAATGATTAATTATCTTTTTCAAGTACTGTTTAGTAATTCTGGTGGTTATAAAAGTTAAGTACTAAACAGATGCAACCCAAATATATATATTTTTTTCTTATTTTAGGAGTGACAAAAATAAAATTACCTTCCTTTAAAAAATCAATTTAGCATGAATGGAACTCCCTTTAACCCTTTAAACCCATTAAATGAATTTTTTTTTATTCATTTAATCTAATTCAATAACATTTCAATATAAAAATTCTAACATTTCAATATAAAAAAAATTCAAAAGAGTTTTATGTACATAAGTAATTTCAAGCTAAAATATAATACACTGTACATGCATCCTGATAAATTTTACCTGTGGAGCTGTTACAAGATTCATTTCCAAAAGTCTGGTTTGCAAACTACCTTCAGAAGGTCTATTATTTTTTAAAGCATCAAGTAGGAAAGCGGTGCACTGTTGTACTAAGTTCTGTTCCATAAATATATCTACAATCTAAAAAGATAAAATTCTTGTAAATGTTAAGCCACAATCAACTAAATGAAAAGATGAAAATAAGGCAATAAAGTCATACTTGATTAATGTCAGCCAATGGTTCATCATCTTGCACTAACATCTGAGAAAATGAAGCTCCTTGATCAGGATTGATCCTCATGACTTGTCTTAATAAACCTATATAGTCAGGGGTGAAACCCACTTTCTTTGCATACAGAACTATCTTTTGAAACTGCCCTGTTTCAGCAAAACATTGTATAACCTAAAGACAAACACATTTTTAAACTATACAAAAACCAAATAAATTATAATATTTTATAAGTTTGCATTACTTATAAATTCATACAACAAAAAATGAAAACATACAGATTTTAAAGGAAAAAATAATACTCTCAAAAGCTTAGCTAATTTATTAAATTTCATTCAATATGAAAACACAAAAGGGAAGAACATTTAACATTGCATTCCTTTAAAAATAAACAGATAATTAAATTTTAAAAATTAATTTATGGATTAAGTTTAACATATTTTAAAAGTTCCCTGAACCTTGAACTCATGCAAGAGATAAATTTATTTTTCTTTAAAAACAATTGCATAAAAACATAAAAGTACTAATTTTTCAATAAAGTTCATTACAAAAGATAATTCAATAAGTTACGCAAGCATTAAAATTATGCCACATATATAGCAAGTAGCAGTTTACTTTCATGCTACAAATATTGCAGAAATTATTATTGCAAACAATAAATATAGAGTTAATATATTCTTAATAGTTAACACAGGGCTCCCACTCAATTTGCGAAAAAAAATTCCGACTTTTCCAGGTATACCAGGTAAATTTCAATGAAAATTGAGACCATATTTTCATCAGAAAACTGATTCTTTTATTTGTTTTGTGTAATATTAGATTTTCTGTGTTAAAAATATTGAATGAGGAGAGGAACATTTTAGTTTGACTAAAATGTGAAATTTTTATAAAAATAATTGTCATAGATGTAAAAATTATTTAACTCTAATCTCAGTAACTGACAAACAATTTTAAGATTGGTTATTTTCCAGGTATGTTATAGGAATATTCCAGGTTTTAGTCAAAAAATTGCAACTTTCCTGGAGTATTCCCTGATTTTTGGAGTTAAAATAAAATTCCATGACAATTCCAGGTATTTCCTGTTCTCACTGACCTGTGGGAACCCTGTAAACGTTTATAAAAAGTTTATACATTCATTCATATATTCAAATAAATTACCTTATTGGGCACATTAGCACGCAGATATACAGACAAGGCCAGAGTAGGATCAACTTGCTTCACTAAATCCCCAAGTTCTTCACTGCATTCAAGCTGAAATGTAAGAGTATAATTTAAGGGTTTATATACAAAGCACTGTCGTGCCACTGAATTTAGTTTATATACAAAGCACTTAAAGCATATAAAAGCCTTACTAAAATTTTAATTTGATTCAAATCATAATTTTTATAAGGAAATTATTGATTATAGAATTTTTAAAGCATTTTAACATAACATTGTTTAAACTTTTCATTGATTTTCGAAATTTTAAAATTTATAGTAAACTGCTGTGTTAGAAAATTAAGTTGTATTAGTAATTTAACAAGAAATAAATTACAGTAATTTTGAAGGAGAAATTTTGACAAATCTTATAATTCATGCTAATTCTTCAGATAGCAAACTAAGAACAAAGTGAAAATTTATCACAGCTAGTGAACATAAATTTAAGTAAATTTAAGATAATTAAAAAAAAAAAGTGAAATAGCAATTTCAGAAAAAGAAAAAAAAATTGATTAAGAGTTAATAATAAATTGCAATAAATTAGAGTCACACATTTACATGTATTAAACAATTTACTACATCTTAAAATGTATCATGATTTATCAATAAATTTTTTAATTAACTAGCTTAATACCTGCTGTAAATGTGCTATTATGCTTCGTTTTCTACTTTGTACACAGAACATAAACAATTTTGACTTAGATAATATTTAGTATCTGTCACTCGTGACTTAAATTTTAAGATTTTCTTTATGAAATGGTTACTAAAATTTTATCATTTACTAGACTCAAGACTCTTGTCATTTAAATATCAATCTCTAAACTTCAAATTCAACTTTCACCAGAAGAGTTTTCTTAATTTTATACAGCCACAATGGTTCAGCAAGTTACTTTTCCACTGCAATATTCTTTATGAAACAAATAAAATGCAACAAGACTTGCTTATAAAGATATTTTAAACAATTTTTTGCAGAAGAGCCATATTTTCATAAAGGTAATAAACATAAATTACAGGATATGCAAACAAGACAAGCCTAAAATTTAAAGAAAATATTAACCTTATCGTCTTTAAGCCATTTTTCAAGAAGTTGCTTTCGTCCTTGTTGCAAAACAGGACGACACAATTCAAGAGATTCAAACTTATTTAGTTGTCCTTGATCAAGAAGAATTCCAAAATACTGCAGAAGAGGTGCAGTTTGTCCAGCTTGAGTTGGAACTTGTTGAAATCTTTGAATTGTTTGGGGTGTTCTTAAAATTCCCTATGAAAAAGGAATAAATTTGTAAAACAAAATAATCAAATTTATAACAAAATTATTTGTAGAATATAAACAATACCTTTGGGGCATTGGCAGCAACTTTAGCAGCTTCAGCATAATTCCCATTGGTGAACAATGTGTTAAACTTTCTAACAAATAAGTCTTCGGCACCTGAGAGGTTGTTACGTGTGGCTACACGCAAAGCTAAATCTGGATTTTGCAGAACATTATTAATATATGGAATAAAGTTTTCTTCTTCAACACTAACTGAAAGTACCTACAAAAAAATATTTATTACAGGATGGAACGATTTCTATATTATGAGCTAGAGAATTAAAATAACACCAGTATTTAAAGAGATTTCTAATTTGTTGAAGGATTCAAAATATAGGAAAAATACTGAATAAAAAGAAACACTGAATGCATAATAAACTTACACTGAACTTATAAACCAAAAAAACAAATGCCAAGACTGTGTCATTAATTTTAGTGTCTTATTATTACCCAACTAATTATTAGTAAGATATATTAAGCTGAATTTTTAAAAAAATATGGCAATTGTTCAAAACAAGAAAGAGCTAACCTTTATCACTAATTGATAAGGTCAAGAAAAAAGTCATACATGCTTATTTTAAAATAACATTTACAGAGGTGATTGTGAGCCCAACTCAATAATCTTGAAAATTTCTTTAGTAAAATCATTGATGACACATTTCAAAAAATTAATGTCTTTATAAATTTAAATCATTGATATTTTCAAAAAATAAATTTCTAAATAAATTATATGCAGCATAATTTAAAAGAATAAATATGCATAAGTTTAGTTTTATCTCTAATCACATTATTCTACCAGAAAATTTTTTTTACAAATAAAAGATGCCAAGTAGTTTTAATATTTCTAAATAAAATATACAAGAATTTTTATACATAAATGTGATAGATGACTTTTTGAAACTTCTAGACCAGGGGTGGCGAACCTTTATACAGCAACGTGCCATTTTTTCCAGAAAATTGTTTAATGAGGACATAAACGTGCTGTCAAATAATTTTGCCATCGTGATTATTGGGAAAATAATAATACTAAATACTATCAAGTCAAAACTCTTTAATTACATTGAAAAAAATATATTTTGCAATGTCTCAGTTATACGCGTAATTCAACTTAAAGTAACATCAGTGTGACTTCCGTTGTTGCAGATTAGATAACAAATAACTTATATTAGGTTGTAAGATGTTAGTTTAAGCAGGAATGTTTATTTTTTTTTGTTAGTTATTTATTGTTAGCTTGTTTTTTATGGTTATTAATTGCTTTTTAGCATTCATTGTTAATTTTTTTTATTAATAATTGTTTATTATTTTGCATGTTTTTTGTGAATTTTAATTTAATAGTTACATATGCTTCATAGTGTAATAGCAATTCAGTAATAACGCTTCATAGTGTAATAGCATTTCAGTAATAACAATTCATAGTGTAATAACAAATATGATCGGTGGCGTGCCTAAAATATTGTGTCGAGTGCCATTGGTTCGCCATCCCTGTTCTAGACAGGGTTTCCGCTACGGTAGCTTTTTTCGCAAAATGCGAAAAGACCACTCAAAAATGCTCAAATTCAACAAAGCATTTTCGCATTTTTGCTAAAGGATTTTACTAAATTCCATTAAAAAAAAAGTTCCGCGAAAAACCATGACGCTAACATCCATGAAAAAAACTTGATCAAACAAGGAGAAAAAATCTAAATATCTTTCGCAAGAAGAACCATGACGCTAGCGTTCACGAAAACCAAAATGTATAAACCAAAATGTTTTGATAAATAATAAATGTGTTTTTTTTTTGTTATAGGTATTCTTTTTGATATTCTTGTACATTAAGCTATTCTTTGTCAGATAACTTACAGTACTTGTTTGATATAAAGTAATTTTATAAGCCTAATGGCATTTTAGCATTTTGCTAAAACTTTTTTTCAGATTTTAGCTTTTTTGCTAATGAATTTTTAGACTCAGCTTAAACCCTGGTTCTAGACCATGGATTTCCGGATCCTGGTTAGTGAGAAATCCGGAAAACCGGATTTTTCCAGAGCATGATCATCTCTGCACTTATAAATAGTAAAGCAGATATTTGAAAATTCAATATTTATTTAAAAACTTTTTTTCGAATTAAAAGTAGCATTTATGTTGAAATCTACAATTGATTAGTATAGGCAATAAAATAAAAACTTAACAGAACAAACAAAAATATTACTTGTCCCTTGCGGTTGACTCCTATGATGCCAGCAGTTGGTTCATGAGGTGCAGTAACAAAGATGGTTTCACTACTTATTCTGTTCATGTAAATGCAAACAGCACTTTCAATATCATAAAGGTGAACATATCCATACTTTGTTATCAGGTAAATTATATCATGCTTTGAGCTTATCTGGAAGTAAATTTTTAAAAATGTTTTTAAAAATAATTATATAATTATTTTTATATATTTTAAAAATAATTATATATTATATTACATATAATATTTTATTTTTTTTTTTTAGAATTACCACTTTTTAGTTAGGGTTTTCTTTGGGAGGTCTGAATGAATATTACTTTTTACTACCAAATATATCAGAATTCCTCACTATCTTTCGAAAGCCAAGTTCGCCACGCACTAACTCTATATATATCACTTATACCCACTTATCAAGGAACACCGTACAATGCCCGATATAGTACGCACAAAACTCTCAAGATAACAACCAAAAATTAAAATCTTAAGCTAAATAAAAGTTTGACAACTAGTGTTAGCCTCATATAGTAAAAGAAAAAAAATAATTTTTATACCTAATAAATTATTTTTTATACTTCAGTTATTAACTGAACCAAACGTTTACAAAGCAGTAAGATTTTGAAAATTTTATCAAGAATTCAAGCCCAAAACCTTGTCAGTAAACAAGCTTGTTTAATCTTTACACAGTTCATACAACAAAAAGAAAAATATATAATTATAATGGATAAAAATTGACAATTTGTTTGATAAATTTTTTAAAGATAAAAGCTAAAAAAATGAATTAAAAACAAAATATCATTACCTGCATGGCAACAGGGAAGTCAGTTTGCGCTTCTGAGGGAAAATACACATCTACTGCCTTTTTCGGATACGGCTGATTACCAGCAGGAGCTTGACCAACTTCAATTATATGCAACTGTAGGAGAAAAAGTATGAATCTACATATACTCAAATCTATAAATTCCTAATTTTAAAGGAGATTCCAAAAAATTTGGGATATTAAAAATAAAGTATTCTAATCAAACATTTTTAAAAATTTAGTCAAACTAATAACTGAACTGACATTTTAAAAGATGTATAACATATGTTCACTTAAAAATAAATAATTCAAAACGATTTACGTAAGTTTGCACTAATGAATATTTTAGAATACCAGTGAATTCAAGAAAATGTCTAAATTTTAACATTTCATCTAACACTGCTGCATTTCTGGGAGAAATTTTTTTTTAAATAGAGACAACATTTTATATATTGGCTTTTCTCCTATAAACCCATTACAGCTAGGTTAAACTACAGATACACAAACTGTAAAAAATAAAAAGATATATATAAATTTCTAAAAGTATACCAAACAATAATTACCTTTCCACCCTGGGCTGATCTTACAGCAAAACAAAATAGTGTAGATGGTTCAGGGTTACCTTCCAACTTGAACTGAGAAAATGCGGCAGCATGACCCTCAATAGGCTGACTTACTCTTCTCTCAACAGAATACAACTGCATAGCTCCAACCACACGGTTTTGCTGTTAAAAAAAATTTTTTAATCAATATCAAGAGAACTCTGGAAAATTCATATGGTTCAAATTAATTGAGTACAATACCTGTGCGGAAATGCCGATTAACAGTAACCATTGCTGCTTGTGATCACACCTGTAGTTTATAATCTGGCAACCATTCAAACTAGTATGTCTGTCAAACATTTTTAATGGCTGAGATTCTCCTAAAAATGTTCAAAATGAATTTGAAAAAGAAAAAATAGTTTAGATAAGTTAATGTGAAATATAAACTGATCACAATTAAAAAATATTTGAATAAAAAAGAAAAATGCATGAAAATTTTATAAATGCAGTTTTTTTTAACATTAAAAATAGATTTCACATATTTTTCATTTTAGCGATGCATAGCAACTAATGTTAGACTTGAAACTGGCAAGCCAAATAAATTTTATCCTAACCATGGATGTTTAATTTTAAACCATAATAAGAATAAAAATATAAAACAGTGATTCCACAATTTGCAGTTTTGATCATCAATTTTTTGCATCAACTTTTTGGGGGGAAAAATGCCTCTTTCCAAATTATTAATAAATTTTTTATAGTACAGAATATGGTACAATTTAATCTAGTGGTTCCTCAGTAATTAATATACCATATTATACGGACTTTGCCTATTATATATAGAAAGCATATAAAATAGTTTGTATTCAGTAATTATTTATTGCTAATTCAGTTTGTTGCACTTTTCAATTCTTTAATTATTCAAAAACATTGCACATGAGTTAATTTTCTGTGCTATTATTTGTAATCAAAGTAAAGTCCTCATTGAAAGTATAAGTAATATTTGTTATTAAAAATCCTAAGGAGGCTTTTTAGTTTATATAAATATATCTGATTTTTTTTATTCATAAAAAATATTTAAATAAAGAAACGGGACAAAAGTAGTATAGCAATTTAAAAAAAAAAATGAAGAAAGCTACAAAAAGAAATTAACACATTCATTAATTGTCCAACAATATTTTTTTATACTTCTGTTTTTTAACCTTTAGTTGGCTTTGGTGGATTAAATAAGATACTATAATCCTTATTTCTGTCCTGTCTATCTTCTGTATTAAAAAAAAACAAACTAATGCCTGAAAAAATAAGCCATAAAATTAGAAGTAGCTCATAAAAATATTCACTAACTTTCACATAAGCGCTAAAAACTTTTGTTAGCTAACTTAATTTTTATTGTCTGAAACTTGAGCTTTTAGCTTTAAAAGAAAAAAAAAGGTTATTGTTTAAAATACACACCTGCAGTACTAAATAAATCCATTAATAATCATTTACATAATTTATTTTCTTAGCGTTGCCCAACATAAGTTAATTCTACAGAATATATAACTTGAATGTGTATAGTGGGTATAAATAGAATGGTATATTCATTTTATTTCTATAAAATTTGGCAGTTTATTTAAAGTTTTATATTAACCACATAGTTCATATAAAATTTCTTTGTCTAAACTAGATATTCTAAAAAGAAAAATAATTTTGGTATCATCAATTGAAAACTTATCCATTCCTAAATTACACAGCTCTTTGAACAATAAAATTACTAAATGAATTAAAACATTAAATAAACATTAAAATAAATAGCATTAAAAGACCTACCTTCCATGCTCCAATGGAACACAGCTGATTCAGTGACCAAGGCAATGGTATTAACGTTAATCCACTTCCAAAACACAACATCTTCATTCATGGTATGAGCTTTCATTTTGCTCTTCATTTCAATGTTGAATATTTGTAAAGTTCTCATGGCTGAAGAATATAACTCAAAACTTATATCACATAGACAAATTTATCAAAATCATTTAGAAAATAGATATTTATAATTTAAACATAGACAATATGGTTAAATATTCTTTTTCTTTTCATTATAAAAAAAAATTCGGTACAAATTTCACTAATTTATTTTTATCAAACTTATTTTTTATTTAGAAAATAAATAACGGAAGGAAGTTAAGATTGTGATTTTTAAAGTTTCTATAACCTTTTGCTTAAAACAATTAGCATGGTGAAGCCAGGGTACCAGCAGTCAGTATGGTTCACTTGTATCAGCAGTCTTTTCCCTAAACATTTTTAGAAGGATGGCCAGCCCTATCTACCCTTTATCCCTATAAATACACCCTCTTTGCTCTTTTTGTAAAAATAAATCGCCATCCTTTAAAAACACTGCCTTTTCACTCATATTCCAATTAAAAAATAACTCACTGTTTAAATAATTACATATTGGTAAAATTATCTGTGTTTGTAAGTTTAATTCTAATTACTATTGCAAATATTTATGGGGTTCTGGGCAATGACATCGCCGACACTCTGGTTAAGGCGGGGACGAAAGAAAATCTGATAAGTCCAAATTCCCTCACCTTCATGGAGCTGGCATCAAAAAAGAAAAAAGAAGACCTCGCTTCCTGGCTCGTAACCCCCAAACATCACTGGTACCAGAGCACCAGTCCAGGAGGTGCACTCAACATTCGGTGCAACCGCAAGGACCAGACTGCACTTACCAGGCTTATCAGCGGCCATCTTAAGTCCCTTTCTTTTGAGGGTAGTATTAAAATCTACCCTAACTGCCCCAGGTGCCACAACATGCAGGCTTCCCCCCAACATATACTGGACTGTCTAGGTCTGGACAAAAGGGACATTCTTAATAACACACTTATGGTGGCCGACTTCCTCCAGGTGATGAATTTCATGGACATAGTTTAGCCCTGCTAATTTTGGGGATAAGGAAGAAGAAGAGAAGATTGCAAATATTTACTTTGTTAGGATTATTCTCAATTAAGTTTTTCTTTCTACGACAGGGGTATATTAATGAATTAAATGATTTTAAAACTTTTTTTTAAAAAAACACCTATAAATGATCTTTTTTTTTCCTTCAAAATTTTAAGTTTAAACTATAGAAAAAAACTTGGAAGTTTTTTATCGATTAATCTTTAGTTTATTTTTAAAATAAAATATGCTTAGAGACTGTCTTTTAGCATCATGTCTTTAGTTATTTTTATAAACTACAAATTCTTCTCGTTTTAATAATATACGAGTTATTTTTAAAAAAATATATACATTAGAACAAGAGGGTAATTTAAAAATTGTTGAGGATCAAATTCAGTTATTACGTAATATTTCACAATTTGATAAATTTTTAAGGTGAGAGCTCTTTCAAAACTCAAATTGCCTTTTATTGTGAGGAAAACCCTTCCCTTTTATTATTCCTAGGGAGAACTCTGGTATCAGCCGTAAACAAAATGTTAATTTACTGAAATTAAATTAAACACTTCAACAGAAAAGGCAACAAATACAAGTTTTAATATTAAATTGAAATTACCATAAATTACATATGTAAATTTAATATTTTATATTATGCATATAGTAACAGCTAATACTGATGCCAAAAATTTTAAAAAAATCAACATTTTAAAATAAGGAATTTTCTTTAATATTCTCAATATCTTAAAGTTTCTCTTACAAAAATTTTAAAAAACATAGCATTTTTTTCTAAAAATGTAATAAATAAAACAAACTTACTTCCGGAAGAAGCTGAAGGAGAAAAGAGAAAGGACATTATTATAAAATCAAAACACTAATTTTATTTTAACAACTTAAAATACTATTTTAGTAACTGAATAGATTAATTAAGAAAGATTTACTTAACTTAAAATTTCAAAACAAATTTATAGAGTTTTATTCATAAATGAAACTTATTTAAATCCAGTTCGTTAAAAAAAAAAAAAAAAGATGAATTAAAAATTTATAAGTAAAATTAAATTTTATCTTTCTTTTCTTTATTTGCAAATTGCAATCAGTCTTAAATATAGAAATTCAGAATTTTGTAAAAATACATTTAGAAACAAGGTATACCACACACAACATTAAGTAACAATCAAAAAACATTTCAAATTATTAATAATTGCCATTAACAAAACCTAAATAGACAAATCCAACCATAAATTATTCATCATCTTTAGGACCATTTAAGAAATGCTATGCAACTTTAGTTCTTATCAGACAAAGTGATCAATAGCAAAGCTACTAACAGGTTTTCCTTATGCTTATATTTTTAAAATGTAATGATGGTTAAAATAAATCAAATTTATTAAAACAAAAATCAAGCATTAGTTGAAAAATTTTGCTAGCACATTAGACATAAAAATAAAATCTTCTGGAATATCCAGAACAGTTAGCAGGTCTACACATACCACAAACTGATATTGAAAAATTAAAATACCTCAAATGTAGAGAAACTAGAAAGAAAAGAAAAAGATCTTTTCACTGATTTATTCACTAAAAAGTGTTGAAAACAAATCTGCTAAAAACTATAATTATTTTTAAAAATATATATATTTTCATGTTATTTTAATTTTAGATAAAATTTTATTTAATAGTATATATCAGTTTGAAAAAATTATTACATAGATGATTTACAGTATTAGGGGTAGAAATTAAGTCCCTAGTCCTAAGGACCAGTAATTAAGAGATAACTAGTTAGTAAATCTTTGACTGGGCGGTTTAGATGTTTCTATAAGCTTTTTAAAAAAAAGAATTTGAATGAAAAATTGCTATGCAGAGAACATATATCATTTCAAAGTAGCATATTTCATCACATGCTAGAAATGATTTACTTTGTGATTAAAACAAATCTAATTCTATAAACAAAGCAATTCATATTGATTGCTGGTCAAAACCACTGATCATTTAATTTTCAAATAATATTTCAATTACTAATAAAAACTATCAAAATTTAACACTTACATTTTTTAAAAATTTATAAAAATTACTTTGTTATCTTACATTATAAACAGTTGAAAATTTCCCTACCTTTCTTTAATTATGGAAAAGTTTAATTGCTCCAATAATTTTAGGGCACTACTAATGCCAATACAGGGAACTTGCCCAATTTAATACATCTAGTTTTAACATAACTTTAAACTCAACCTTGATAAATTCTATAACAATTTAGGTGCCACAATAGTTTCATGACCCTCACTCTTAAGCAGCCAAAATGAGGTGGGGGGAAGCAAACTTATTTTAATGTGTTTAATTTTAATTCATAGAATGTATTTTAATTTTAATGCATTTAATTTTATCAAAAAGATTATCTTCACAAATAGGACTTTTTTATTATTATTATTAATGTTTCAAAGGTCAGATTTCAAAATATTAACTTTAAAATTTCAAAAAAATTAACACAAGTTAATTAAAGTTACTTAAACACTTACTCTATAAACTTATTTAAATTTAAAATTTTTACTTTAAATTACATTATAAAGTGAAAGGATTTCTTACCTTTTAAAGCTATAACTTTAGAAGCAGGGTTCATAATAGCAGAATCTGCAGATATTGGTCTTCGTATAGGATTTGTCGGATTACTCATGTCAATGATAACAACTTGTGCAGAATCTCCCACTTTTTCTCTGACACAGATGAATTTGTCAGATTCCATTGTAAGGTTGTTAAATGTAATATTTGCTGCATTGATTCCGACAGTGGTGAGCTATAAAAAATTTTATTTTTCAAAACTCTTATACTTAAAATATTTCACATAGATTTTATTAGCAAATTACATAACATGAATAATATATCTCTACAGTTCACAAATATCTAAAGAATCCAGAATATTTCCGAACAACTACAATTTTAAAAAATTTAAAAAATAAGCTTAGGAAGTTTGGGATTTTGGGAGAAATTATACTATGTTTCAGTTGCTCATCTTTTATGATTTTTTTTCTATCTTTTTTTCAAATTTCTTGGGGGCTGCTGCCTAGTATAAGCCAACCCTTAGTGATTAGTCTGATACAAATCTTGATATGGAAATCTTCCCATATAATTTATAAACACAAATAATTTATTCGGAAAGTTTCTATTTAAAAAATAACAAAATAAGCCCACAAAAGAATTTTTCAAAAAATAAGTTTCAAATTCAGATTCTTCTGAAATACAGATCATAATGGATTGCTCAAATATTAGATAAGCATGTTTAGAAAAAATTTTCATTACATTAAGACTCTTGGGAAACATATTTTTATTTTTTTTAATAAAAGATTTTATAAAATTAATAACACTGTGGAAACAAAAATATTTTCAGATCCTAAGATATAAACTCTGGTTTGTTTTTATTTCATAATTCAATGAAATAATTTCAAAAGTTGCACAAGTGATACACACAGCCATGCAGATCCTCAAGGCTAAGACTTTGCTTTATAAAGATTATGCTGTGCTAAACATTTAAAAAATCAACTGAAACTCCCATTCGATTTGGTTGTTAAAATCTTCCTTATTCTTTCACACTGAAAATGTGATTTCTTTAATTAACCATGCTTTTAAACACATATTTTGAGCCAAGTCTAAAATAAAAAGCTCACTAACATTTTAATAGTTTTTGTTACTGTGCCTAATTTTGCAAATAAAAATGTCACAACTCTACCTATATATACAAACACTGTATTGAATGTCTTCAGATTATATATTCCAATGTTCTCTTCAAGTGTTTTTTAGAGTACATTATGCTTTGTTTGCCCTTTGATAGCAATAAATGTGCCCCTTTTTGCCTTTTTTGTAAAAATAAACCACCATTCTTTAAAAGGACTGCCTTTTCATTTATATTCATTTTGAAAAAAATTAATTCACTCCTTAAATAATTAAAATGTNCACTTTTTGACGTCAAAAATCCAACCCTGCTTTTCATTCATATTCATTTTGAAAAAAATTAATTCACTCCTTAAATAAATAAAATGTGTGCTTATAGGCTCGATTCTGTTTATTATTACAAATATTTACTTTGTTAGGATAATTCTCAACTGGTTGAAGTTTCATAATGATCTTTTCTCGGGAGGATATTAAAATATGTTTTTAGTGATTAAGATTTAAAACTATTTTTTAAACATTAAATTCTTTTTTAAAAAAAAATTTAAATGTACATTTTGTCATAATTTTCCGTTATAATTATAGAAAAAAGCTTTCAAGTCATTTTTAAATTAATCACTTTAGTTTACTTCTTTTGAAAAAAAAAAAAAATAGCACAAATTGCCTTTTATTTTTATAAACTAAAATTTCTCTTATTTTGATAATGAAAGAATTACTTATTGAAATAGATATAGTAACCTAGTTAAAAAAAAATTGAGAAAATTCAGTACATAATTTTATACAATTTGATAAACTCAAAGTGCCTTTTTCAGATAAGAAGAGTCCTGTCCTTTTTCATTTCTAGGAAGATCTCTAGATTCTGAATACACAAAATCATAATCTTCAAAGTAGACTTTGCGATTCATCACTACAATGTTATATTTATAAATACACTCAAATCTATGTTACGTATGTTTTTTCACAACCAGCACACTTTAAGATTTTAGAATAGTATAACTCATAAAAACAGGATTGCATTTTGCATTGCTTTTTGCCTGGTTCATAATAATTCCATGTAATAAACTTAATAAAAGAACAAGTTTTAAAAATCTACCCATTAATTATTCATTAAATTTCTATGTCATTAATCAATGAACTTGCTATAGATTCTTCACTGATTGTTATTTTTAGATATTTTTTAAATTTAGATTCTTATCACTTAAAATGTTTGACTAGTAATATTGGAATAGATTACAGATTACTCTTAATTTCATATATATGTAATATTAAATTTTACTGTATTATCAATGTCAAAACCTGCACTGATACTACCTCATAGTTTACATGCAGTGCATACTAAAACGTACCTGATATTACCATCAACAAAAAGGAAAAATTGAAATTATTATAAATGAATAAATAAAACTTAAATTCAAAAAATTTAGCATGATTTGTCAGGCCAACAATACACACTCAGGGTCAGAAAAGTTTATTTTTAATTATTTCTGTGGTGTTTGCTGCATTATTTTACAGAAAATATAAAATGATGAAATTTAGAATACCATAGATTTGATTATTTTTGATCTTATGCACTATAATCTATGGTTAAACTCTGTTAACAATAGAGATGAATTTGCATAATAAAAAAAATTTAAACACAATGCTAACCCTTTTTCTAGATTATTTACATATTTAATTCTACACATACTTTTAATTAAACTTTTACAGCCGAGCATCATTATTTCGAACAAACAGTTAAAGTTTATAATTGTCTGCTATCTTTTAGATTTGATGATAACAGATAAAAATTAAAAAAAGGCTAAGGCAAAATATTTTTATAAAAAATAGATATAATTTTAAAACTTCATATCTTTAGTGGTACATTGTAAGTGTAACTTTCTTAAGCCAATAACAATTTTTTTTTAAATAAATAACACACTGATTATTTGTTTTATTTATTCTGCTTCAGCCTTTTATAAGCTATGTGAACAGGAGTCAAAATTCAGTCTTAGAAATTAATGAAAATTTAATTTACACAAATCAAGTATAAATTTTCTTTTAGAGTTGAAATTCAAAGTTGAAACATCAAATTATCAACATAATCAGCAAGGGAGATTTAATAAACGTGCCATGATTTTAACATTGTTTTTAAATGAATTATTTCTGTAGTGATCAAGTATTATGTAGTTCTTAATTCTAAATAGAAACTAAATTTTGATTCTTTTTATTATTATTATGCCGATTTAATGTTTCACCTCAAAAGATACTTTAAATTTAAGCAAGAAGTATAAGAAAAATTCATGTCAAACATTCAAATTATTTATTATTACAATAAAGTTTAATGTATTTACAGATATCAAATCAAGTTATTAAAACAAGCATGAAATGTTTAAGATTATTCCGGAGCAGAAAACAACCATTTATCGTAACAGATAATAAGAACGTTCTGAACCTTTAGGCAACTAATACTATAGGGGCGTTTCACGTTCTTATACTACGTGGATATAGAGTTTATTAAGAGTATGTTTAATAAAATTATGTAGACATTAAAGACAGCTATTAGTGCACGCATAAAAAAATATTGGTTTACATATATGATGACTAAAAAGAGTTTCTAAACATTTGCATAAATTCATTCCTCTTCTTCATATAGAATAAGCGGTCATCACCCTTGAATATCTATGATTTTAGTATTTAAAATGGATTATTTACCTGCAAATGCTCTTGAAAATGAATTGGTAAACCCTGGGCCGTCATTTTGAACGACAAACGTTTACCACAAAAATGAAAATAAAAGTAATGAACACTAAAGTTTGAAGTATTTAAGTGACCAACAGATTGACATGTAACCACCTACGACCACCACCGCGCCACGGTACAAACCAAATCCAAAATGGCGTATACAGCAACCGGCTATTTAAATTTAGAGAATAATCTGCAAAAGAAATTATTTAAGCAATCAAATACTATCAAATGAACATAGAATTATAGAGCAATTATCATTAAATACGAAATTTTTGGTCATCCAATTAGGTGATCATTTATTTCTCCATATCTATTTTATTGGAGGCGGATTTATATCTAGGAATCATGTGAAACGGTCTAAAAATATTTTGTATCGACTTTTTAAACTAGAAAAATTGAACAAATGAAATAAACTGTTAAAAGTAGTTTAATTTTATAGAAAACGAACGATAAACTGTAAATTCTAAGCGAACGCTTTCGAGAAGTCACAATCTCCCATAGCATTTATAAATTTTATTTTTAGTTATTCAACAAAATTATTTATTTTCTCGAAATATTCAACAATAATTTCAATTTTAATAAGTTCATTAACAAAGAAATCAGTAAAGACTTTTCAGCAAAAGTTACTGAAACACTTTAACCAGAGTAAAAAAAAGATCCATAGAAAAACAAAACAAAAACTTTTCAAAGTGAAAACCAAAACAAAATTTATAATTCGTGGTAGCCAAGAGCCTATGATCCCATCTTTTTCAAATCACAATTCAAAATTTGCCATTATAATGCGAAAGAGAATGACATTAATGGGCTACTCTCAATGTATTGAATTTTTCATGAGTAAATTTCATGGATATATTTTTTCGTGCGATATTTTCGCATGCGAAAAATTGCACGCAAGTTAAATTGACCCTTTTTATGCAGCAAGAACCGTTTCTGAGTGACTAGTTTTCAACACTTGGCTATCGCGGTTCTGAAATAAATAATTTACCATTTTTAACTGTTAACCTCAAGTTGTACACGCTTAAAGCAATCGCGTGTTAATCGTCACTGTAAACCCCCGTTAAATCGGTATTATCCAATCTACCACCCTTAGTATTTTGTAAGCGTGTTCGTTTCGTGTCTAAGCGACTTAAAAGTGAGTATTAAATATTGTATTTAAAATATAAAAAAACTGTTTCTTTTTATAGTAATTAAGCTTTACTAAATGTCAGTAAGTTTTAACGCAGATTATATTTCTTCCAAATTATAAAATTTATACACGTGTTCAAGAACAATGCTTTTAAATTATGCTAAACTCATAGCCTGGTTTTCTTTATTTAATTAATATTATTACCAATAACTTTCTTTCTATTCAATTAATTCCATTAAGAATTTATTTTTTAAAAAAAAACTGGCCTTTGGTGTTCTTGAATTTTAGGCCTAGGCGGCGTATATTGTTTTTGATTCCTAGACTTGTAACTATGTTGCGACAATGTATTTGGCTTTTTATTTCCCCCAGATATCTTCACTTCTTAATAAAAAAAGATCCCATTTTTTCACTTCTGCATTTTTAATCCTTCTTTTATACATAGAAGACCGCGTTATCCCAAGATGAATTTTAAATGAAATTGTTTTAAGAAGCAACTGTAAAGAGTTTAATCCGGAGATGCCTTGTGGTATTCTACTAGTTCCTTCTGAGGGTGGGATTCTGGGTTTTTTTACCTGTGTGTTTTAATTCTTGCTGAAAGTTGAGAATTGTCTCGTGTCTAAGGAAATAAGTATTGTAACTTGACAAGTGAAATGTCATTACTAAATCTATAAAAATTTTAATTTTTCAGAATGCGTTACGTTGCCGCTTACTTGTTGGCCTCCCTTGGTGGGAATAAGAGTCCATCAGCTAGTGACGTTGAAAAGATCTTGGGAAGTGTTGGAATTGAAGTAGACAAAGAAAAGGTGAAGAAAGTCATATCTGAACTTAATGGAAAAGATATAAATGAAGTGATTCAAGCTGGTAATTGACTGTTTTTTTCTTCTATCTCTTAGGTTTCATTCTTTTGTGTTAAAGATTAGGGTAATTCCTGATCAAAGAACGCAAACATCTATTTTGTGAAATAACTGTTCAAAATAGAATTTTAATATATAGTGGAAGTTTGAGGCTATATGAGATGAGTCCTGTGCCAACTTCTTTTGTTTGAAAATCTAGTTTGAATTTAAAAGGTTTTTAGTGATCAGGAATTGCCCCTGGTCTTGATCATTTTTGGGGTAATTACTGATCACCAATTTTTATTGCAAAGGGCTGTTTGAAAATAATTATATGATGGTAATTAACAAATTAGACATAAAGATAAAAAAATATGTTTAAGCAGCTTATAAAACTATTTTAAAAGCAAGCAGGTTGATTAACGCTTTTAATTTTCAAAAATCTTTTCATCGTGCCATGCGTTTTAGGCAATCAGCCAACTCTACTGAAAAAAAAAAGGAGTTCCCACATGGGTTACTTTTGCTGGTTTTTTTTTTTTTTTTTTAACTTCGTTAAGGGAAAGTGTAAAGTTAAGTAAGGTGTGCCAGCAGTTCTCACACTGAAACGATGTACACATAAAATTAAGATAGAAGCAAGGTAAGACAAACCAGGAATAGTGCAAATCAGAGTACCGTCTTGTATACAGTTAAGAACAAATTTTCTTCAAGGCAAAAATTCTACTTAATAAATATGGATTGTTATTTATGACAGACAATTAACTATTTATAAGCTATTTTATATATAAGGAGAAATTACAATGATCAGGAATTACCCCAGTGCCCATCTGTAGGAGGCAACATTTGATATATTTTCCTATGATTAGTTATAATGTTTACATATGATGTGAAACAATTAAACAAAAGCTTACACTACTTTTATATCAAAGAAAAAGTTAAATTATTATTAAGTTGGTGTAGTTATACTTTAGTAAAGTGTACAAGCATTCTTGACCATGTCTCAAATTTAAATAAAACGTAGATAATTATTATTTACCCCAGTAACAGAGTGATCGTGAATTACCCCAGGTCACCCTACATTGTAAGTGTAGGTCAGTTGTTTGGATCAGAAAAATTACCAGAATTATAAATGTTAGAGTTCAAATTTATTCATGAATTCAGGTATTGGAAAAAAGAATGGGTAGTGTTCAATATCCACAGTTTGGAGAAATAGTACATTTTAGGTTTCCATTGATCGTTTTAATTTCCATTAGATATTTTTTTTGTTATATTTATTGTATTATATTAGTGTTAAATGTAGTTTGTAGAATCGTCGCATGGAAGGATAGAATTTTTATAGTTGCTATTGTTCGGCTGTATTTATGATATAGGGCATTTTGGCTCCTAATAACTCAGTAACACAAGTACAGGATGTTATGAGGTCTCAAGGACAATATTAAATGCCTAAAAATAATAGCATTATCAGGGCTCTGTCCATGCCGAATTCACTACCATTTATCGGTACCTTCACAAATTCAACTTTAGGAAAAACTGTAGTTTCATAAAATACTTTCTCTTAAAATTTTATTTTTGTATCCCTTAAGAAACGATAAATCCATATTTTTGTGTTGATTTTTTATTATAATTTTTAATTTTTCACACATTATGTCTGAATTTTAACAAAATAGGTACCTTTCAGAAAAACCTAGACTGACCCTTGATTATAATGAAATGTTAATGATGCTGTTTATGTTGCCACTCACACTTCAAAGGTTTGCTTTGCAGCTTTTTTTCAATCATGCAGACTATTCTGTTCAATGTTAGTGATGAAGCCAGAGGCTATTACACAAATTTTTTCCTTGCATCTTGCAAAGACTTCTTATGCTTTGGCAATATCTTATTAGTTTTTAAATTGTTTGAGTTTTAAGGAAAGTGGTTACATTTCTGCAATATCCATGTTTGCTTATGGCTTTATCGCTCAGTTTCATATGCACGCAACTTCTACTTTTCGATTACAACTTAAGAGACATCTTACGTGATCTCTGGCTCTATGGTTACTTATTTGCAAATATAGGTATCTCGGGGTGGCCGCCCACCTTGTTAGCCTGCAGTTAAGTTTCTTTTACGGTGGGGACTTTCGGTTGAAACGTGGGGGGGGGGGCGAATTTTTTCTTAATTTTACAAATTTAAATTGTGATTTTTCTTGGTTTTGCTGTTTCTGTTCCCTATTTTACGCACCTCAATTTTTTTGTCTGAAATTTATTACCAAACAGTTGCAGTATCATTAAATCGGTAGTACATAGCTTGTATCAAAATTTGCTCCGTTTTAACTTCGTAAAATTAGAATGCCACGTAAAACTTTTTTGTATATATTCAAAATTCTATATATACATTCGAATTGTGTAGTGATCAGTGTTTGCATTCCACAGATTATATTCTCAAAACTGTTTCTTTTAGCCTGGAAAGCTGACAAAATCTAAGGAATGTTAAATAATATGTAAAGTTAGAATATCTATTTTTTAAAAAATATTTGTTGGTTTATTAAGAAGAAACAAAGCTTTTTTATTCTTTGCTGTGCAGGCAGGGATGAGATTCTTCTGCAGATTTCCGTTTTTTTTTTTTTTTCCTTCAGATTTTTCCTGCTAATTTCTGCTGAAATTGTTTTTTGCACAAGTTAAAATATTTTATGAGGAATTTAGTTTTCTGCGGAGCGAAATTATTGAAGTCCTTATTCCTCCCTCTGAAGTCTCTCTGAAAATCATTTCCTTGGGATAAAACTGGTTGACCTTTATACAGGGATGAGATTTTTTTTGTCTCTCGAATTTCAGCCTTTTTATCAAAAACTCCGATTCTCTAAAAGTTTCGTTTGAAGTCAAAAATAANTAAGAACTTATTGCTATAGCATTATTTCAATGAAGGGTGATTTTTCTGTGGTCGTCCTTTTGATTGTTAGCAGGAAAGTAAAGTTCTGCAACAAAATAACAGGATATATTTTTCTGAAACCTGACATGTGTAGTACCCTTTAATTTAGGACTAGTTAATTCACATAATTGTCATACTTAATTATGAAATTTTATTAGGTCTCTTTCTTCAGATTTGTTTACTTCCTCATGAAGTTACTTGATACCCTCTCATTGTGTAGTTTAGATATTGATTAACCTGACTGTTAATAGATTGATTTGCTTTTGTACAGGAGCTTTTTCTAAGCTTGTAAAAATAGCGAAAAAGAATATTGGCTATGTGGTAGGATATAGAATTTTTGATAAATAATTGTAATGAGCTTGATAGTGAGACCATTTTCAGCTAATGGTGTTCGTCCATTTGTATATGTTACTCGTGACTTCGGGGAGTGGAATCAATGTAGATACATTCAAAAACTATATTGTTATAAATTAGGGATAGTTGTGCTCCGTATTTTTCAAGGTCCAGAAGTTTGAAGAAATCATCGATCACGTTTATGTATAGAAATTCTTATGTGTTTTATTTAAAAATATTAGAACAACAATTTTTACTTGGTATCTCTTTCATTTGTAAATATTTTTTCTGATAGAATGATAAATGTGATTAGAGATAGAACTAAACTTGTGAATAATTATTTATTTGAATTATGTTGTGTATAATTTATTCAGAATTTCATTATTGATCTTTACTCAAGAAATTTTTAGTTTTTTTTTAGTGGGGCTCACAATCTCCCCTAATACATACTATCAGTCTATGCAAGGTTAATTGGTTAATTATAAAATATTGACTCTGAATTCAGATGAGGGTATTTTTTTTAAATAAATGTCTTAAATTTCATGTAAATTTAAGTAAAAGTAAATTTCATGTGACTTTAGGTAAAGGTAAATTTCATGCAAATTTAAGTAAGATTTCATAAAATGTGAAAGTTGTTCCATTTTTTTCTTTAATTTACCTAGAGATTATTTGTTAAATGGATTAGAATCTAGCTATTTCAACATGTAGAAATTATGTAGGAATTTTTAAAGGGTATTATCTCTGAAATTTTTAGGTTTTTGCAGAGGCTTTTGTTGTAGTTTTATGAATAAGTTGAGTTGCATATTAAGTTATTATGCATTGAACTGTTTCACTTTCTTTTTACAGAGGACAAGAAAGAAGCAAAGAAGGAGGAATCTGAAGAGTCTGATGATGACATGGGATTTGGGCTGTTTGATTAATAAATAGCTTTTATATTTTTATCTAGCTTGTGATTTCTTTATTCCATTCTCATTTGCTTGTTGTACATAAATAGTATTTTCTGATACTCATTCCTATGTTTCAGGCATGTTGCTTTTCACTATTTGCTAAGCTGTGTTTTCACTGCAAATATAATATCTGTCGGAGCAAATTATGCTTAAAATGGGGACAAATTAAGTTGATCTAAGTTGCATGATTTATTTATAAGCCTGTCAAGTTTAGTTATGATACATCAACATAAATATATTGTGAATCTAATATTTGAAAATAATTTAGCAGAAAATTTGAATTTTGGCTGTCAGTTTTTCTAAAATCGGCTGTTCAAGAATAGAATCACTAATTCTAAATTATTTCAGTTCAAACTGAAAAGCAGATCTTCTGGTTGTGTTAGTTCATTTCAATGGTAAACTTGGATATTTCAAATTTTTAATACAATTAAATTTTCGTGCCATTTGAGATGCAGTGAGTATTTTCAGAGGGCCAATAAAAATGGTTTATTTACTATTTTTGTTTCGTAAAAAAAAAACTTATAGGACATGAAGAATTAGTACAATGAATATACGAATGCAAAAAGATTTGCATGGTGCCTTTTGTAATGTATATCAAAAGTTTGTTAGGATTATTTTTCTGATGTAGGGAACTTAATTTTTAACTAGCAGTTGCATTCAACTTCGGCCACTTTTTTTTTACGTGATAGTTGTAGTCTAGCCTCCAGCTTTAACTGCACACAAGATTGATGAGATATTATGCTTAGTTTTTACATGACCAGGCAGACATTGCACTGCAGTTTAATATACAAACTTATTTCCGAAGATTTTTAATATTAGTCGGGGTTTTAAGGTGTACTATTTTATTCTCCATAAAATTGTGAAAGTTGTAAGCATCTGCTTGTTGAAACTTGCGCAAATACTTATCCTGTATTGTGGAAAGGGTTCATCATTGACCTTTGAGATTATTGATGCCAAATATGGATAATTTATTATTAATTCATCAGGCTCATCCCTTCCACTACAAGCATTTATTTATTGCTTAGTTATTTTATATACTAAGTTTGAATTTAATTAATAAATGTGTAAAATTAACGTGTTTTTTTCTCACTGCAGTTAGAAATTTAAATCTTGTAACGCTGTACCAGCTGTCAAAGTACATTTGATATCGGGTAAACCGAAAAACTTGACCAGGGGTCTACGAGACAAAAAAAGTTTTATATATTTTGATGAAAAGATATTGTTGGTCCAAAAGAAGTCAGTGTTTTTAAAATAAAGCCTGTTCGAGCAAAATTAAACAATCTAAGAGAAGTTGTATTTCATTATAATGGCCCATAAATGCGCCAACATGTCAAAGTAATATCGCCACACTCTGCACTTCTGATAAAAAGATGCTCAAATCTTAAAATTTATGAGTAATTTAGATAGATTTATGTGCATTAAAAGTAAATACATTTATTCTTATCTAACCATTAGTTATTTCATCACCTTGTTCTCTTTTCGATGAGATAAATAACTTTTTATGCACGCAAGTAAGTGATAATAAGGATAAATTCTAACAACTATCCAAATTTTCAGCCATAATTTTAACATTTACTGTAACTGTGAAGTTTCTTATTGAAAAAAAGTAAGTAATGAACTTATTACATGCATTTATTAATACAGAACATAATTTTTTTGAGTCAGATAATTTTCACTCCGTGTAATTCCAATGGCGAGTTTTCCATTCTCGCCTCCGTTTTTCTTTCCACCAATCGGGAATCGTTTCTCTCTTTTACTCTAGATGAGCCCTGCCAAAAAGAATCCCCCTCAGGTTTTTTCAAGCTGGCCCAATTGGAAATGCATGCATTATTTGAAATTTAATTTTAAAAAAAATTTCACTTGTCAGATTACACAAAGTATAAAGAAAATATTTGAATTAAAATAAAAAGGGTTCTCATTCTTTTTATCAGAACTAGAAGTTGCGTGCTTTTTTTTGAAAATAATTTAACCTATTTCTGAAATAAAGTCAAACTCCGCTATAGTGAACCTTCAAGGAACCGAAATTTTGGTTCACTATATCCGTTACGCAGGCAATTTATCTAATGGACCCCTAACTCCTCCCTTTTATTACACATTATTCAAATAAGTAACTGAAAAATATTATGTAGTAGCAAAAAATTTGTTATTTTTCATTACTCTTCGTCTTGCATACGAAAAAAATTAGTAATCTTAAGCTGATGAGCAATCCTCAACATCAGATATGGAAACACTTCCCGACTCTCAGCTAATTTTTCCTGAATTTCTGTTATTCCGTTTTTCAAACCTGTCTAACCTGCCATTTGAGCACATACAAGTAGTCTCATTTCATCACTTGGCAAATTCACCGACATTTGTCCAGATACTGGAAGACTGCAGCTTCTTCAACATCCTTGTGATCTGCTTTTTTCTGCCATCTAATTTTTTTCACGAGCAGAAATTATTAATTGCCTATTTTTCCATATGTTACTAACTGCAGATCATCAAAGGAGGACGTTTACTGCTTGCTTAGTTATATTTGAGACACTTGTTTGCAGGCTTTTTTTCAATTAAACTGAGAGCAAAAAGGAGGTGAAATGAGGGCCTTAACACATATTAGTGTCCAACCCTTTAACCAATATTGAATAATTACTCATTCCATCTGACAAAAAAGAAATTGATCCCACTGACACCTTATAGATGCATCGTCTGCCTGAGTTGGAAACATCTGCTTGGTTTGTTTAGGGATGGGAAAGGAAGTAAAGAGGAAAAAATGCTTATCACTACATTCCCCTCTATAGATGTTTGCAAAATCGGTATATGTATTTATTTTGAAGTAGAAATTTCAAAATTATTGCGAAAAAAATCAGTCGAAGGCAGAAAAAAGTTCATTATATCCAACTTCCTCACTTTTTTGGTTCACTATATCCACAAAAAATTACATTATGCTTGTATAGCAAGGCACTGGACCGAATATTTCGTTCACTATATTCAGGATTGAATGTAGAAGTTTTATGGCACAAGATCCAAAGGAGGATATGCTGCGCCAAACAGTTTGTTGAGTTAGATCTAATGGTGAAACACAATAGTTTCATTGTCATAAAATAAATGAAACTAATAAAATAGTTTATCTCAAGACAATAGTTCATAAAAATCAATAAAATGCGTAATTCTATAAAATACACAGAAAAGGTAAAACTGTTCATGGGTAGGAAATAAGAGTGAATAAAATCAGATAAAACAGTTATATACAATATAAAATACCAATAGCTCGCAGAAATGCGAAAATGTTAGGATGATGAATATCATCTAACAAATCCTTCATACATAAAATAGTGCTATTAAAACAGTTAAGACGATGTTGGTTAAAACAAGGACAAATGGTTAAAATATGATGAACCGTAAGTAAAGTATTGCAAGAGTCGCATTTGGGAGGAGATTCTTCAAACAACAGATGAAGATGTGTGGCCGATTCTGAGACGATTAAGCTTTACATCTGCATTACGTAAACGTAATACAGGTAAGGGGTCTATATATGGTTTGATGTTATGAAGTTTATTTTGAGTTTGAAGATCCCAATGCTGTTGCCAAAGGGACGAGATGAGCTGTCGAACATGTAGTTTAATGTCTGAGAATGGTACAGATATTGTTAGTTCAGTAGTTGCAGAATCCGCCAACTCATTCCCTGGGATACCGACGTGACTCGGTATCCAGAAAAATGAAATATCAAATCCCTTCTTGTGAAGAGAGATTAATAAATGATTAATGAAGCATAAGACTGGGTGAGTATCGCTGCGAAAATTTTCTAACTGGTTCAAAACGCTCTTACTATCGGAGTATATAAAATACTTGCGTTCGGAGCGTGAAGAAATCAGCCGCAATGCCAAAAGGATGGCAACAGCTTCCGCAGTGAAGACGGAACAAATATCTGGGATCTTGTAGCTATAAGTATCATCAGCGATGATGACACACAGCCTACGTATCCCGCCGATTTTGATCCGTCAGTATATACAGGCACATACTCAAAATATTGGTGACGATGAGAATTGATAGTTTGTTAATAAATGATGGATGCAACATTAGATTTACGGTACAACTTAAAAAGGGAATAAAACTGATGTGGTGGTATGAGAAGGTGATCTATTGATTGTGTTGGCACGTCACACGTGTCAAAAGTTCGTATGAGAGAGCGCACACGAGCATTAAATGGACGGACATATGAAGGTTTAGCATCATACGTCCTTCCTAAGCTTGATGGAAAGACATCGTGTTTTAGAGGGTGAGATTTGCAGGATTTCACACGATAGTCACTATATCCGGGAGTTCACTATAGCGGGGTTTGACTGTATTAAGGACCTCAGTAATAGTATAAAGGCTTATCATCCAATATACACATACCCACAGTGACAGTACCAATTATTTACATTGCTTTAATAAAAAATTTATAATGCAAGAACTAACATAGTTGTATTTATTACCAGGGTTCACCAAAGTGGACCCACTTCAAACTTTATTGTACTTAGAACAAGACCTCCAAATATTGGAAGATAATTCAACTTGTTACATAAATTGAATTCATTCACATTGTTTCAAAAGCATACTAATGTGCCTTTAAATTAATAAAATCGTTATTACTAGTGCTTAGCTTTAGACAAACTAATTTTTTCTTTTTTAATGTATCTAAACTAATTATAGTGGTTTCAATTATACTAAAATAAAAAAAAAATCAATTTACCGAAAAAATTCTTTCAATTATACTGGAGAAAAAAAATTATAATCGAACATAAAAAAATGCTTTTATATAATTTAACTCTCAACAGAACCTATGCTGCCATATAAACAGCATGGCAATTTTACTTACTATATCCAATGCAGGTAACTGGTAGCTAAAATAAATTTATTGTCTTATTTACAATTGATTTAATTATACTTTTTTTTTAAATAATAAATATTACAATGGTTGGAAGTGAACTTGAAATATTTCCAGATTGTTATGGGTTAATAACATCTATGAAACTAATTCACATTCCATTATTTCATTCAAATTGAATTAAGCTATAAAAAAAAAAATTTCTCTGCTTGTTAAATTGAGTCCAGAAATTAAAATTCCAAATTTTTTTATACATAAAAAATTATTAGAAGAAAAAGTTTTTATATTTTGCTATTGATGAGATGCACCACCTATTCAGTTGTGAGCAAATTTAGCAAAATATTCGGTTAATTAAAAATTTTTTCTTTGTTTCTATTAATAAAATGGTTCATATAAAAACATTAATTCTAAAATGAATTAGAGTTATGAGAGTTTTCTTAACTATGTTCTGTTAAGTTACTAAATATTTTTATAGGATAAAAATACAATTATGCTAACGGAAAATTAATATTATTAAAGCCAAAGTGTTTAACATAAAAGCAACTTATTGGTGCAACAAATATAACTGTTGTTTCACATTGTAACATATAAATAAAATGGTTTAAAATTAATTTTCAAAGTTATTACAACACACGTTAAAGTTGCTGTCTGCATGTTAAGTAGAACAGAGATGAAGAGAGCAAATATACAAATGCTTTTTTCCCCAAATGTGTTTTTCAAAGCCGGCTTAGAGCTGAATCGCGGACATTCCCAAATTTATAAAACATCCTTTATGGGCAGTGGAGATGACCGGGATCGAATCCCAGCGATGGCTAGTAGATACGAATTCTGCACCAACCAGTGACAATGTGAAATATCTCTTTGCCGTCAGGCTAACTGTGGAAGGTTTTCCTCTCCATGTAATGTAAATGTGGGTTAGTTCCATCAACAAGTTCTCCACAAAGATAATTTTTTTCCCAATACTTGATCCAGGAGTTCCTTTGAGTTTTAGATTGGGTCCGAAATTTCAAGGCTAAGGAACTGTATTAATATTACTGGCTTGCCTCTAGGACATGCATCATAGAAACTTATCAGTGTTGTAGTAGTAAATTTTTCGAAGTGGAAATGTAAAACATTTTGTGACCATTTTTTTTTTAAAAAAATACCATGTGATCTGATTTAGAATTTTCTAACTTGATATAAAGAAGAGTTTTTCGAATTTAATATAAATTTGCAACATAATTTAAAGCTTAATAATAAATTTTAAAAAAATTTTAGTGACCTTGGCATTTTGTGTAAAATATGTTTGCAGCAGTGAAGCAACAGTAGTAAGAAATGCTGAACTTTTTACGTTATCAACTTTAAAAAGTAACAAAACATTTAAAAAAGGCAGAAATAAAATAAAAAATCTTACTATAAATAAAAACAATTAGTATCCATTAAAAACTGCAAAATTGACAAATGAAATGGGCGTTGTCAAAAAACAAGAGAAGGTACACTGTCTCCTTGTATATGCCCCACTGCTAAACCCCAAATACTTAATAAATTTACCAGTTAAGATAAATAAAACAATCATTTAAATGAAATGCAATTTTAATAAAAGCCAGTTTTAAATCAACATTTTTTATAAAATATAAATATAACGAGATTAAGAACAGTTACTTCATGAATCGAATTGGCCGTAAAATTTTACAACATTTTTATCTGTTTCATGGATTTTTACACAATGAAGCATTCCAGGTGGTAAATGCTTTGATAACTGCTTCCATATGAAAACACACAGATTTTCAGTTGTGCTGTAAAAGAATTACAAATTTATCATTAGACACAAAAATCACTTGATAACAATGTCAGGGCCTCCACTGGTGACAAAAATAAACCAGCTAGAAAGCGATTCTGCTAGAACAGCTAATTTTATAAAAGGCGCCTATTCTAAAAAAATTATTGCTCTTAATATTTTTAAATATGATTGGAATAGTCGAGTCATGAATTTCTCTCACTAGAAAGTGATTACTCAAATTCGAAATTCAAGGGTTATATATTTCAGATATAGGAATTCTGAAAACCATGTGGAAATGGTTTGGAAAAATAATAAGTGAAAAAAAAAGCTTACAGTAAATGCTAGTATCTGAGAAAACCATAGATAACTGGCAAGAAAACAACATGGACTGTTGATTGAATTGGTGCATTAAGACTCTCTAAAGAAAGTAATCAAATATGAAAATTCAAACTTGAAAAACACATGTATCATCTACTATAATACAATTCTTAACACGATATGTATTGTTATAATTTATATTTCATGATATTCCAATTATAATTATAAAATTTGAATAATTTTAAACTGCAGTTTCAGTTTTTTAAAATAAAATATATCAAAATTATTAAATAGAAAAATCTAATTTAAATAATACATTTCATTTTTTTTTTTAATTAAAGAAAATAAATCAAGAATACTCCGAATAATAATTTTTCAATTCCTCTATTTCCTGATGTAATCGAAGAGGTCTTGTTGTTTATTAAATTTGCTTTCTTCTTGTACTTTTATTAGTCAGATTTCAATAACGTCTTTATTTTGAATAATGATTTGCATCACACAATATATATGCTTTTTTGTATTCATTTATGATAAGATTATAAAAAAAAACACACACATTTAGGGCAGTTTTTACAGAACACTGTATATTCTCTATTTTCTTAAGATTTCTTTTTCCTTGAGTGATATTTTTTATTATAAGAGAACACTATTTAGATGACTGTTATTTATATCTGAGAGTACTATTTATACTATATATATGTATATATATATATAGCTTGTGAGATGCTAAAATAATTATTTTAAAATACTAACTTCAGTGAAGGCCCTGTCATATTCTTCTTTTTTTTTTAATAAATGAAAAAGTACCTCACAACATTCTCAAAATATGGAACATCCAAATCTAAATTTTTATGATCCAATGGCTCTATTACATACATCTGTAAATAAAAAAAATTACTGTATCAAAGGAATTCTTTTTTTTTTTAATTGAAATTATTGAGTGAAATTTTAAAAAAATGCATAAGAAATTTTAAACAATGTTACTACCCAAAAAAAGGGTTATGGTAAAATGTATGATTGACATTTCACATTAAAAATTTTAATATATGTAGTTAAGTTTTATAGCTTGTAGGAATTGATATTTAAAGATTATCCCATCTTACGTTGCATTGTTAACATTATTTTACTTACTATTTGTAGTCCATTTTTATAAGTAATACAGTTATTATCACAATGAAAAATAGATAATTTACTTGCACTAGAAGAAGAAAAACATATTTTATCACATTAATCTATTTTTCTTTAAAACTAAAAGCTCAGTTTAGTATATCAATTCAGTTGAGTTTATTAGTTTAGTTTAGTACACCAATATCAAATCTCATGAATAAGTAAATGCATGATTATTATTTCACATTGAAAATTTAAATATACATAGTTAAGTTAAATAACTTAAAGGAAGTGATTTTTAAAAATTATTCCATCTTATGTAGCATTGTTAATATCATTTTACTTTCTATCTATTTCCAGTCCAGTTTTATAAGTAATATACAGTTCTTATCACAATAAAAAATTAATAATAATTTACTTGCACTGGAGGAAGAAAAACACATTTAATTACATTAATCTATTTTTTTAAAAAACTATAAGTTTAGCTTAAAAGTATTGTAATACGTCAGCAAAATTAATTTATTTTATGTATTTTTAATACCACAAAATAATGTCGTTATTTTGTGTCTTTTTCATCCACTAAAACAGATTCAGTAAATATAGGCCCCACAAATATGCAACCCTGCTTTAAGATGTATTTTTAATTATAGGGCTTTTAACAACATTGATATCCTTGATATTATAAAGATCTGAAAGCAGAGAGTATCCATTAATGCTCCTATCTGCTATTTCTTACAATTTATCACAGAATAAGTGCATCTATAAACAAATAATTACCTGCACAATTTCACAGGCTTGAAAACTAAGTTTTACTTAGCTTGAAAGAAGTAAAATAAAATGAATATTCCAAGGGGAAAATAGTTAGCAGCTAAAAATGCAGTCAAAGATGTTAAAGCATATGTTTTAGATTTCAAAATAACCTCTGAGTTAACGAAATTGTCAACATAATTAAGGTGTCCCAGCTTGTGAAAAAGGAACTCTTTGTAATGATAAATCTAATGCTAATCTGTTTTGTTAAAAAGGTAAAATAGATATAAAATTAAATAATTAGAAATCTATGTAAGATCATACATAGTTAGAACATCTCTTTAAGAAAATTATATAAACTTTGAAAAATTAACACCATTTTTGAAACTAGAACTAATCCAAATTCTACTTAGAATTAATGCAAAACTGGCATAGTTTTTTAAAAGTATGTATTGATCTGAAATTCAAGCTTTTCAATTCTATTCTTTCAGTTGTTACTGTAACTATTTATTTCTCATTTTTTAACATACAATTTTTAAACACATAACTAATTTCCCCACACTGTACTAAGACCTTTTCTATGAATTTTGTATTCCTCAATGCTATTTTTTAAATATTGCATACTGCACTAAAAAAGGGGCGATTATGACAGTAGTAATAGCGAATATAAATTGCTTTACCTTTTTAATTAGATCTGAAAATTAAAGGATTCTCAAATCAAAACTTAAAATAGTCATGTTAAGAAAATAAATTTTTAAAAAAAATGTATTTTAAGTTTGGCAAGAGAATTTATAAACTAAAATAAAACTTTCATACCATTAATAGAAAAATATTGAACAATTCATATCCACAGTTTTTTATAATAAATTAAGCAAAATTTTCTATAAACTGATTCAATTATCAAAAAGATTTATTTTTAACAGAAAATAGTGTTTAAAAAAATCACAATCTTGTATGAAATGCTGGTTTTAAAATCAGCTATATCTAGTTAAGTTTTAAATGTAAATGTTACAACTTCTTGAAAGTTCTATGTCTATGTGTAGATATAAAGAATGACAACTAGCTGATCTGTAATGGATGGACTTGAAATTGAAATGGGTGGACTGTCTGTAAAATAAAGTCTGATAGATAATAACACAAAAACCTTTTTAACACACTTTAAACATAAAATATATAATTAGGAAATATAAATAGAAATATTAAAATAAAATCACTTTTTAAATTTATTTACTTGAAAAGAAATAATTTGATACAAATAAAAAATATTTACTTTCATAATGTTTTTTAGATCTTCAATATTAATAACCATGCCAGTAACTTTATCCACCTATAAATAAATAATTAAGTCTTACTACAATTTTAATCTATCAAATATTGATTAAAAAGACAGCAAAAACTTAACGAATTAAGATTGATTAGGAGAAGAGAAAAATAAAATTTTCCCATTAAGCAAATAATCAACATTTAAAAAAACAGAAAAGGGAAAAAATAAATAACTTTTTCTTTAGGAGTTCAATTTTTTTATAAAATGCGACATTTTATCTTCTATTAAAACAAATTAGTAAAGTAATTGTAACTACTTAATAACACTCATATTTAGAGGGGGAAACATAAAAGATCATTTTCTGGGTGATCATATGTTCTACATAACTTAATTCATTATAATCAAAATTACAAGGATAGAAATGGTGGTAGGTGTTTGTTATATCGACGATCAACCAACATATACAAGAAAAAATGAGAGATTGATCTATGTTATTTATGTGATAAAAGTTGAGGTTACTATGAAAAGCATAATTAGGCATGTTGAAAGATAAATGCAATAATTTCAAAAGAATTTGAAACATATGAAAAACAATTTGTAAATGCATTATTAAATTTTTTTTTCATCAAAAGGAAATTAAAAAAAAAAACAAGTTAAACTTATAAAATTTATATGAATGATGTAGAGCAACAAAAAAACAAGTTATCTTAGATTAAAATTTTATGTAGAATTAATTACATCATACTTTTGAATAATTTCACATAGAGAAATATACAGTAGACTCCCTACTACTCTGTCTCTGGTGTAAGAATAGGATGCATAACAAGAAAGCCAGATGGGAAGGAGTTCTACTACCTACCCCTTCTTCCGCATAAATAAAAACCCATTACAGAATTTTAGACAAATATTATAGTCCAAAGTGAAAACTGATTAATCCAAGGACATATACTACATTTATTAAAAAAATACACAAAACTACTGCCACTAGCTATACTTTTAACAGCTCTAAAGCAATAGTTTTTGCAGATACCCCAGATTTCAGAAGATCTCTCTAACAGAGTGAAAGCTTACAACATTTCGAATTTTTATTTTTTCTACCAACCATGCAAATTTTAAAAAATGGCCAGCTCCAAAGTTTGTTATTTTTACTAAGCAAGATAGAATGGAGGAGAGGATAATCAGGTATGCAAAGAGGCATTTTAAAAATCTATTTTTTACAATTCCTTGCTTTGTTCAAAAGAATACAAGGACCACAGTGGCTTATAGAAATTTTCAGAATTCAGATACTTTGTTCTGAAATACATTTAATAGAACTAAATGCATGGTAAATAAAGCAAAAAGACCTTTTGTAATTTAAACAACAAAAAGGCAAAATTTTTTAAATCCTTAAAATATCAGATGATTAAAAAAAAAATTTTGAGTTTCAGAAATAAAATTGCATTCAGAATAAACTTGTTTCTGCTTAAGACAAATAATAAATTGTGAAAAACCTTTGTTTGTTAAATTATGAATGATGAAAGATAACAAAGTTTAAGGAAGGAAAAAAAAAACAGCAAAGAGTAAAGAAATAGTTAAAATTCAAGCATAATTGAATCAGTTAACATTGTGCATAGGTGAAAGTTCATTGATAGAAATTAATATTGACTAATAGCATACATATTTTAAAAAAATTTTATAATTAGATCAATCATGGAAAAGTGAATTCATACCAGTTACATAATTCATTAATGAGACTTAATAGAGATTAATATTCACTTATAGTAGTTTTCATCTAAGTCTTTTTTCTTCCTCCATTCATCTTTTTAATTGTGAGAGATAAATGATTTAACATTTTTTTTTCATGCAAAAAAAAGATTAAAATTTTTTCCAGTAAACTATAATAAAATATCATCTTTAAGTAGTACCAAGAACAATAGCTCTTGCCGCTTTATAAAATAGATCTTTTATTTATTTATAAAATAGTTCTAAAATTTTGTAAAAAAATATAGATATAAGTAATTTGCTGCTATTATATATATATATCAGGTATTTGCTACTATTATATATATATCAGGTATTTACTGAGTCCAAAACAATTTTATAAATATATATTTAAAATTTAATTAAAAATTTGTGCAACATATTTTGCATAGTGAAAAAAATTTAGTATGAATTCCTATTTCTAGTTGCAGCTGAAATTTTTTTTTCCTTAATTTTAATTTAATTTAGATGGAAATGACACTTACCATCTTTTTAGTTTTGAGGATATAAATCACTTTAAATTAAGTTTTTTCTTTATTTTTTTAATTTTAACAAATTTAAAGTTCTATTTTGTATGACTATGGACTTGATAATTTGTCTTGCAAATTTGCATATTGCCACTTGCTATTTACATATTAAATTTCAGATGAACATGTGCTTTACCTATTACTTTTTAATTAACTTTTAATAAATGCTACAAAACATTTATTTTTATGTATGAAAAATTATGAAGATATTTTTTTTCTAAAATTTAATTCAAGAGTATTAATAGAAAAACCATTCAGACAAATGTATTAGTGATATAGTAAAAGCAATCCACCTATTTTAACATATTAATAAAAAATCTATTCATAAATTATCTATATAGTATTCTGAATCACTCATTTGTCACAAAATATTAATTAGATGTAATGCTTAAATCTTGGTTCAAACAAAATTTAACACTATTTATGAAAAAGTATTAAAAGTTTTGCATTCAATATCACGTGAAAAAAATTTTCAATTTTACAATTTTTAAATTTTCTTTTATTGGTCATTATTTGTCATAGATTAGGTGCGCAAATTATGGTAAGTGGTTTTATATATATATTGCAACAAAAAATTTACATAAATTATTTCATAACTATGTTCTGAGAAGCTTTAAAAAAATTCCATCAATTAAGAACAATTGCTTCAAAAACAATGCCATTTAGAGAAGAATTTTCTTAAATTAAACAAAAAGAAAAGGATGAAAACCCCTCATAATAATCTGATAGGTTTTTAAACACATCATAAAGGAAGCAATGTACTGTTAAATCTTCATAATAATTTTATCAATAAGAATATTAATTTTGCCAACTAAAATGACAAAAAAGTGAAGGATGAAGGAAAACTAACATTCATATAAGACAAAAATAAAGTTAGACAAAAATTAGTTTAGATAAAAGTAAAAATTATTAAAAAAGCATAAGTCATGTAACAAAAATCATAAATATTTAGAACAAGAATTGAGTAAATAAATTTGAAACTATAAATAAAAACCATACATAATGACAAATTTAATGAAAGTCATAGGATAATTTTGGTACTATGATGAAACACCTTCATTAATGTTAAAGCACAGAATTTATTTTGTGTCTGATCACTGTAAAAGGGGCTGAATTATATTAGGATTGAAACAATGATAAATCTGATTGCATAACATTATTTATGTTTTTCTTTATTTTTAAACAGCACAAAAAAAAAGTCTCCTTTATTTGGAAGTTAATGAGCAGCAAAACTAATCATATCAATTATCACAAAATCAACTTCAATTTAAAGTATAAAATTGAAATGTGATATACTATAAGGAATTGTTAAAAATATAATTAGATACTAATCGATATTAGACAAAATTATAATGAAACTACAAAAAAAAATTATAAAAGTTACATTTATTTCTAACATTTTATTTCATAATAAGTTTAAAATATACATCATCATTAAGATTTCAATTTATGTACTTACCTTTCCTTTCACTGTGACTTCAACTAAAAATAAAAATTTTTGAAACATTTCATCTTTTAAAATTTTAAAGAAATTGGTTAATAGTCCTAATTTTCAATTTTAACACTTAACTATTAAAATTTTACCTTTATAATTATGTCCATGTCCATTAGGATTGTTGCATTTTCCAAACAAGGATTTGTTTCCCTCAGAACTTAAATCTTTGCTATAAAACAAGATATCTTTCTTAATTCATGTATATTAAGATCATATAGTTAAAAGAAAAATATGATTAATTATTGTTTTTAAATAACAAGTATATAAACAAACAAAATAAAATAATAACAAGTATTATAAACAATAACAAAATAAAAACTTCAGCTTACTTATTTAGACTATGATGAAAAAAATTTTCAATGGCCAAAATTTCAAAAGTACTCATGAAATTCTTAAAAAATTTGGAAACATAATTGATATTTTACAAGCACTTTAAATGTTGCTATAGGGTTGAAATGCTAGATATAAAATTTAAAAAATTAATTTCAGCTCTAGATATTAAATAACAAAAATTAATCTCAACTCTGGATATAAAATAACAATAATTAATTTTAAGCATATATTGTTACTTGCTTAAAATTAATTATTGTTAGTAGCATATATTGTTAGTACTTGTCTATTTTCAAACAGACAACTTTATATAATTACTAGCAGATATACATCATTCAATGTAATGAATTAGTGACATTATTTTTTAATAATGCACAATCAACAAAATAAAATGAAAACAATTATGTCAAATAATTTTTAATCATTGAAAGTTCATTCCATATTAAAATGCTATTTTAAGTGAATGGAAGATCTGCTTAAAATACATTAAGCAATTTATGAACCCAATACCCCATTTCTTTTGGATAGGCATACTTTTATTGAAACAAATTTGGTTGCTTTCTCTTGAAATATTGGCTTAAATGTTGGCCTACAATTTAAAAATGCAACATCCTAGAATTCTACTGAAACTAGTCAATAGATTTTATTTAAAATTTAACAGTTAAAATTACAGGCTTTTTTTTAATTTTTATTTTTTTTTAACTATGAAAGAACTTTATTTTAAAACATATTTATTTTATTAATATAAAAGGAAATTATTTATTTAGATGGAATACTGTTTCAAACTTTGTAGCCCTAGCAACATCTAAACAGTTCCTTATTTTACTGTGTACCAAACATTGAGAACATTTGTTCTAATAATGCAACTGCATGTAACAGTTTAGTAATAACAAGGACAATTTCATCAATATCTTTTGATAGGCATAACCACTAAAATAATGGGAAAATGTCAGTATATTTTAGTTTTTCTAATTCTTCATAAGTTAAATGTTTAATGTTTCAGCAGTGGGTATTGCTGCTGTTTCCTTTTTGCTCAGCAATCCTATCAATTTCATCAAACATATAGGGAAAGAATGGGGCTAGATTCGTCTAGTAATTTATAATTTTGGTCACTAATTCAGGGTTCAGCCAACGCTATTGTTCTTCTATTGTTAAAGAGTCTTTTTGAAGCATGGGTCCTCAATATTTGCCAAAAAGTGGGCATTTGTCAAGACTATTTGATATCATTATACTTCATAGCTTTCTGAATTTTGTTTTTTAATTGCCATATCATTCGATAAAATAAAAAAAAGTAGATCAGAAAATTACATAAATATTGAAAGTTATAATGTATTTATAGTTTATATAATTGAAGTTTATAGTTGAAAAGTAAAAGAAATAACAAAAAACTTTAAGATTTTTTATTTTTTAGGTAAAGGCAGAAAACAACTGGTAAGACTATTATTGGACTGTTACTGGACAAAAAATAAGATTTATTCTGTTGTTCATCCTAAGCACTTTAGAAGGGTGACACGCCTTACATGCCCTTTGGTTGTTATAAATATGCCCTCTTTATAAAAATAAGTTGTTATCCCTTAAAAACATTGCCTTTTTATTTTATTTTTTTGATGAAAAGTTTGCTTTTCTGTTGTTACAATGAAAAGTCCATTTCTTATTTATTTAGTTATTGAAAATTATTGAACTTTATTTCTTAATTTCATTTCTTCACTTATGTAAAATTTCTTTTTATGTTAACTAGTTATATAGTTAAATTTTGCATGGTATTAGATCCCAGAGAAATTCATATCCTTTATTTAGGGGGTATATTATTAAGTTTTTTAGTGATTTTAAATTTTACCATTATTTTTTAATAAATATGTTTTATTTAAAAATGCACATTAAAATATTTATTTTCTTATAATTTTAATTTAAAATATAAAAAAGGATTTCAAGTTGCTTATAAATAAATCCTTTTTTTTTTATAGTTTATTTATTTATTTGGCTATTGGAAGCCATCGGCTGGGGGTTCGAATCCCGGTCTGGGCATGGATGTTAATCTTCCTTTTGTGCTGCCCTCTGTTATGTGTGTGAATGTGGCCCACCCTATAAACAGGTTTGTGGCAGTGTGGCGTGGGCAATGTTGCTCACCTCCGTGACTTTGGTTCACAGGTGCCCACTGGGTAACGCTAAATGAGTAACAATTCCGNTCGTATCCCGGTCTGGGCATGGATGTTACTCTCTCTTTGTGCTGCCCTCTGTTATGTGTGTGAATGTGGCCTACCCTATAAACAGGTTTGTGGCAATGTTGCTCACCTCCGTGACTTTGGTTCACAGGTGCCCACTGGGTAACGCTAAATGAGTAACAATTCCGGCATCTTCATAGGCAAATATTCAAATTCAGTGCCTGCCATTTGAAGAAAAAAAACTATTTTTCAAAACTTCAAATTTTTTTGTTATTTTGATAATGAGTGAGAATTAGGTACTTTATGAAATATACACATAAAATAATATAAGAAGGTAATCAAAAAACTGAAGATCAAATTAAAATTAATAAAATTGATTCACATTTCAATAAATTTTAATGGTAGTAAGTGAGTGTCCTTTCAAAACTCAAAATTCGCTTTTCTGTGAAGAAGCACCTTGCATTTTTTATTCCTAGGAAAAGCTCTGCATTTTCAATTAATTTAAAAAATCAAAAAACATAGGAAATTTTAAAAAATTTACACTTCACACATATTTTTTTCCTTAAATGTTTCAAACACGCTTAAAACAAGTGTTTTAGAAGTAAATACCATTGAAGTTAAGCTAAGTCGCACATTCACCCTAGCAGTGCCCCTTCCAGACTTAATTTGCAATGATCAATGGCTCACAAGCCTGGATTGTTAAGTGTCATTAAAACCAACAATATATATCATCAAACTAACAATATATTTTGTTAGAATAAAAGTCATAAGTATCAAAAATAAAATAATGAACATAGAATATTTAAAATGTTTTAAGCGTCACAACCCTTTAAAATTAGGTGACAATATATTTAAATTGCAAAAATTACTCGTGAAATTATTGTTAGAGAATCTATACAGTTAAAAGCTTCACTAAAGAAATTTCCAGTCTTTTTTTTAACAACTACGCACACAGCTGGAGTAAAATGTAAATGAATAAAAATAATTCCAACAAGTGTACTGACTAGAAATTAAAGACCTTAAAACTTTCGGCCCCAAAAAAAACACGGTAAAAAATGCATATTTTAATAAAATAATTAATCATAAACCTGTGTAATCTATGAGCAGAACTAATTGACTCAATTCGTGTAATATAAACAACAGGATCAGACATTATAGATTAAATGCTTTGATTTTTGTTTCACGCTTCGAGAAAATCTTGAGCAGATTTAACCTAAAGAGGGGGGAAAGAAAAAGAATTCCTTTAACCACAGGTTTAACAATGGAATACTATACTAGTTATCTAGTAAACTTAATAATTTTGATTGAAACTTTATTTTTGAATAATCAATACGAACGCTTCCGGTTACTTATTTCTGCTTCTCAAAGGATTCTATTTAAAAAAAATCTAGTTTTCAAATAGATAATATTATAAATTAATAACTTTAACTTCAGTTTGAAACTTTCTTCAGATCAAAATGAAAATGGTCCATCGATAAAAACTGAAAACGGCGATAAGCTGAGTTCTTTACCCATCCATGGCATCTCTTTCTCTAGTAAAATTTAGTAAGTTTCGATCTTGATTTTGAAAATTATTTTCAAAAAATTATGTTGAGAACAATATGACAAAAAATATATTACGAGAGTCCTGCTGATATTTAAAAATAAATTATAAACAAACCAAAATAAAAAAGCGTTGGGAAAAATTAAAACATCGGCGTCGTTTTCATCAAATGGCATTACTATGAAACATATTTCTAAAAACTCTAAAATAATTTTTCTCATAAAAATGAACTGCGTTATTAATTCCAGGACGAAATTTTGTTTCGTAGATGAGAGTTAGTACTTGGGAATTGGATTTTGTGAAATTGGATTTTGATAATAAAAAATTGGAATTTTTTTAGAAAAATTTGAATTTAAGATTTAGCTTTTGCGAGCTAAGATTTGAAGATTTAGATTTTTAAATGGGATTTCAAAATTGAGATTTGGGAACTGGAGTTTTGGATCGGTTTTATTAAAAACTTGACTTTGAATCTGAGGATGAACTTGAGAATAAGGAAATGAATTTAAAGAATTAAAATTTGGAATATGGGTTCCTAGAATTGCGATCTGTGTTTTATGATTTAGGAAATGCTACTTGGTATCTGAGATATAATTTTTCGAAGGCAGTGGCTTGCCAACTGGGGGGGGGGCAGTCGCCCCCTCTGAAATTTAAGTGAGAGGACGAAATAATATGTTTCGCTCCTCCTCAAATCTAAACATTATTTTAGTCTTGAAATAATTGAGAGGGCGAATAATGCACTTCACACCTTCTGAAATTAAGACATCCCATTAAGTCAAGACAAGTTTAAAAGAAGGAATTCAAAAGGATTCCAAAATTCAAGAGGATTTCAAAAATAAAACTTTATTTTTCTCTGAAACTTAATTGAAATTCAAATTATGTGTTTCGCCTCTTCTGAAATTTAGAAATTCACAAAAATAAAATCAAGTTAACTTGACAAAAATTAGATATAGAGAAGGAAAAAAAATTTCCAACTTTGAGTCGATTTTCCAAGTAGAAAACTTAATTTTCCTCTGAAATTAAAGTAAGGATGCAAATAATGTGCTTCGCCCCTTTTGAAATTTAGACATTCATTAAAATAAAGTCAACTTGAATTGCAATTTTAGAAAGAAAAAAACTTTTTTTTCAACTTTGAAATTATTTTTGAATTAGAAAACCATATTTTCTTCTAAAATTTAATTGAGGGAGCGAATAATGTGCTTCGTTCTTTCAGAAATTTAAACATTTAGGAAAATGAAGTCAAGTTAAAGTTGTAATTTCAGATAAAAAAAAGTTTTTTTTCCTACCTTGAAGTTATTTCCGAAATCGGAAACTTGATTTTACTTTAATAATTGAGGGGGCAAATAATGTGCTTCTCTCCGTCTGGAATTTAGGCACTCGTGAAAATAACGTTAAATTAAAAATAAAAAGTTATTTTAGAAAAGAAAAAAAAAATTCTTAACTTCGAAGATATTTTTAAAACCAATCACCTAATTTTCTTCGGAAATTTAATTAAGGGGGCGAATAATGAACGTCGCCCTTCTGAAATTCAGACATTCGCGAAAATAAAATCAAGTTAAAATGAAGTTATTTTTGAAATTGAAAACCATGTTTTATTCTGAAATTGAATAGAGGGGGCGAATAATATGCTTCACCCCCCTTTTGAAATTTAGGCATCCGCGAAGACAAAGTCAAATTAAAAAAAAAAAAGTTATTTTAAAAAGAAAAAAAAATTTTTTCAACTTTAAAGTTATTTTTCAAATTGAAAATCTTATTTTCTTCTGAAATTTAATTGAGGGACGAATAATGTGTTTCATCCCTTCTAAAATTTAGACATTCACTAAAATAGAATCAAGTAAAATTTGAAATAGAGAGAAAAAAAAATCTTTTTTTTTTTCAACTTTGAAGCGATTTTCCAAGTTGAAAACTTTATTTTCCTCTAAAATTGAAGTAAAGGAGTAAATAATGTGCTTCGCCTCTTCTGAAATTTAGACATTCTGTAACATTAAATCAACTTTGAAGTTATTTTTGATGTTGTAAACCTTATTTTCATCTTAAATTTCATTGAGGGAGTGAATAATGTGCTTCGCTCCTTCTGAAAGTTAGGCATTTGCGAAAATAAAGTCAAGTTAAATTGGTAATTTTGGAAAGAAAAAATCTTTTTTTTTCTTTCTGCTTTTGCATATTTTCAAAATTAAAAGCCTTATTTTCCTCAGAAATTTAATTGAGGAGTTAATTACGTGCTCACTCCTTCTGATATTTAGACATTCATAAAAATGAAGTTAAATTATTATTTTTAGAAGAAAAAAAAAACTTTTTTCCAACTTTTAAAACTTTATTTTCACAAAGCGAACACTTTTTATTTTACATATGATAACTTTCTATATAGTTAAAAGAAAGAAACATTTTTAAAAACAAAATACACCAAAAAACGCACTAAAACAAATCAAATGTTTAGAAAACTAAAAAAAATTCTTCTCCTTCAGCCTTCCCTGGAAAAAGTAATAAAATGCACTCTTCACTGATAAAAATTTGTTCCAAAGTCTCCCTTGATTTTCGACCCCTTGGCCTCCCGCAAAGAATATCCTTAGTTAAATTCCTCATAAACAGTCACCTCATTTTACACTTTGGGAAAAAGTCTTTCCCTCTTAAATAGCCTTTATCATTTTTATGGCCCTGGGCTCCTTTGTTCTCTTTTTAAAATGTCAGATATGGACAGAACCATGTTTTATTTGGATATCTCTCTTGATAATAAATTGTTTCAAGAAAGCAATTATCTAAATTTTCTAAGAAAACAGATGCTTTAAGCTAAGGGATCTGAACTGGGGAAAATCTGGTTGACATTTTCTCTGGCCATTTTGTGATGAGACTTTCTCTTAGAAAAATATTCATAAACATTCCGTTAAATTTCCTCTTTTTTTTTTTTTGCTGTTTTAATTGCATTATTTAAATTATCTATTTTAAATTAAAGCTTGATATTTTGTTTAATTGCTTTAATGAAGATTTTTTTTCTTCATCAGTTTGATAAATTACTTACAACATAAAAATAATTTAAACTTTTTGATATAAATCGTACTATAAATAATTCTCATTCTTAATAAAGTTTTTCTTCGAATAACTGGAAAACATAAAATAGGTTTCGAAGGAGGTAAGCCAATATTTTCATTAAATCATTTAATACTTTTGCAACTGTGTATTTATTAACTGTTAGAATTGTTTTTTTTTATAATTGTTCGAATAATAATTGTTTCTATTATGTTCGCATATCAAGTTAATTTATATAGTGCCTTAGTTCCTGATTTTACCGTTTATTGTTTGTGTATAAATTTTTTTATTAGTTTATAATTATGAATATAACATTTTTTTTTAAATTGTAAAGCGAGTTTTCGAATTTTTTTAAACAACTTTGTTTTTATTCAAGAATGAAATGCAAGCTTCTATTCAAACAGGAAATGAAACTTTTATTTTTATTAAAAAAAAAAATCCCATTTGGTTCAATAAAAAAAAAACTTTTTTAATTAAATAAAAAAAAACTATTAACATTGTTTCATTTAAAATAAGTCATAAATTATTTCATTTTGAATAAGTCATGGTTTTTCAGTTAATGAAGAATAATAAATAAAATTCTTTGAAATAAAAAATTTGTTTCTGTATTTACGAGGATTCTTTGTGCTTTTAAGAGGGACATTCTAACATCTATTCTTAATCAGCATTATCTTTATTTTATTAAAATTAATTTCAAGTCTTTTGCTTTCATTGTAGTTCAAATACTTAAAAACAAAATATATAAAAATTACCGAAGAACTGTTAATTCTAAAAGCACTAAAATAATATGATTGAGAATGCATTGTATGAACTCTGAAACTTTACTGATTTTTTAAATTTACCATTTTATTCTTTACTTTTATAATAACCACATTATATAGAACAGAGCTGAAACACCAAATTCATTACACAATTTCTTTCTCTCTCTTATTTAAATGATTGAGAATGCATTGTACCTCTGAAACTTTACTTATTTTTTAAATTTACCATTTTATTCTTTACTTTTATGATAACCACATTATATAGAACAGAGCTGAAACACCAAATTCGTTACACAATTTCTTTCTCTCTCTTATTTAAAATGAACCATATAAAAAAACCTTTATACACCAACAATAATTTATATAATCGTGATAATTTTTCTGTTTTCATCATTTCTTCAAAATTTAAATATTTCTGTTTATTAATTGAATAATTTTATTTTCCGTTTCAAACATAACAATTTCAATTTAAATCCAGAGAAATAAAACTGGAACAAGATGAGAAAACACTACACGTAAAACTACATAAATTTTATTTTTTTTGCCTCTTTTTATTTTTCACTTTAAAATCCGAAGAAAATAAAATTCATTGTCAAAACAAGCCATTAAAAAAAAAATTTTAGGAAAAAAAGTTTCATGATTTTTTCTTATATTGCTTTGGAATATTAAAAAAAATAGTCTTGCATCATGATTGTTTTGTCATATATGATTACATGACAATATGAATACATAGATTTTCCTCTCATTTTGATCAGAAGTTTCAGTAAGCAGACTATTAAAAAATGGATCTTTTTTAAAATATAGCTATATTTTAAGGACCCTGTATTTACTGAAGTAATTCTTAAAGACATAGCATATGTGCCTATAAAAAAACCAATAATTTTATTCATTTTTTGTAACACGCGTATAAAATTTTTAGATTTGAAACTAACAAATAATTTTTTAAATTTTTTCAGTTTGTCTTGAAAAGACCTACCTAAAGATATATCATTAACCAGATTCAAAATGTTTTCTTAAATTGATATTATATGATTGTCATAATAAGTAGGAGAAAAGGGGGGATGCTGAGAACAGGGGGGGGCAAGAGTGGCCAACATGAATTTAAAAAAATTTCAGTCAAATTTCCTCTGAAATATTGTTTATAATTAATGCATTCAGTGTAAGTTTCTCATCTGATAATTAAATTATTGGATCTCTTAAAATGAAAAGCCATGCCTTAAGTTCCACTTGTCCATGCAGTTCCCTGACAATTTTGAGAAAACTCAAGTGAAATATTAATTGTAATAAGTTCTTTTCGAGGACATAAACAAAAAATGGTCCCAATAGTTTAGTCAGAAAAACAGTCTGAAGTCCTTTTATGTCAATTTCACTTTTGTCATGATAAGTACTTTGCTAGATCTCGAGAGCTTTTGTCTTCCTGTGAAGTATCATGACATACAATCCATTTGCTTTTAAGTTTTTAAGGTATAGCTAAATAGGCAAAAAGTGAAATTAAAATTGATGATCCTGACTATTTAACGTCAAATTGGAACCATATTTTTCAAATTGCAACCCTTAATTTGAATCAGAAACAATATATTTTAATAGTGAAATATGCAGGCATTAAGCATGAAAAGAATACAATGGTTTGCTTCCAAACAAAAAGGAGTTAACGATTCAGAAGCCAGAAAGGCTAACATTCAGACGATAGTCAGTAAAATCACTATTTCTCACATTTCTAAGCCCCATGATATTGAATACCAGCTCTGTCCAACTGAATTACAAATTTAAAAAATTGGTACCTTACTTTTAATTAGTAGTAGTTGCTCTGGATAAATTCGCAAACAGTTAAAATAGTTATCTATGAAACTTCATGAACAGGTTTATTTATCAGGTTATACAATTCTTATGAACATTATATTATACTTATAAACAGGTTATACTAGCACTTAAACATTATGTGAATAAACTTACAAAAAATAAAGTTAGTCAGTAGTATGAACAGAAAAGTGAGCATAAAATTCCTTTACAGAGATAAACTTTAAGAGTTAACTACAAGATTCAGGTTTCTCACTAGTATGAACACGAAAATGCTTAGTCAGACAAATTCTATGTGAAAAACTCTTATTACATATACTACAAGAATAAGGTTTCTCACCAGTGTGAACACGATTGTGTATAGTTAGAGTATTTTTTAATGAAAAACTCTTATTACATATACTGCAGGAAAAAGGTTTCTCACCAGTGTGAACGATATTGTGTTTATTCAGAAGACTCCGACGTGAAAAATTCTTATTACATATACTACAAGAATAAGGTTTCTCATTGGTATGAACATAACAGTGTTTAGTCAGAGAACTTCGATGTGAAAAACTCTTATTACATATACTACAAGAATAAGGTTTCTCCCCAGTATGAACACGATAATGCTGAGTCAGATGATTTCTTTCTGAAAAATTCTTATGACATATATTACATAGATGAGGCTTCAAACCAGTATGAACATGACTGTGTCTAGTCAGACTACTTCTTTGTGAAAAACTCTTATAACATACACTACAGGAAAAAGGTTTCTCACCAGTGTGAACACGACTGTGTTTAGTCAATTGTCGTCTTTGTAAAAAACTCTTGTTGCATATACTACAAGAATAAGGTTTCTCACCAGTATGAAAATAACTGTGTTTAGTCAAATCACTTAATTTTGAAAAACTCTTATTACATATATTACAGGAAAAACATTTCTCACCAGTGTGAACACGATTGTGCATAGTTAGAGTATTTCTTAGTGAAAAACTCTTATTACATATACTACAGGAAAAAGGTTTCTCACCAGTGTGAACACGACTGTGTTCAGTCAGATAAAATCGGCTTGAAAAACTTTGGGTACATATACTACAGAAAAAAGGTTTCTCACCAGTATGAACATAACTGTGATTAGTCAGATATCTTCTCTGTGGAAAACTTTTATTACATATATTACAGGAAAAAGGTTTATCACCAGTGTGAACACGATTGTGTTTAGTCAATTGACTTCTTCGTATAAAACTCTTGTTACATATACTACAAGAATAAGGTTTCTCATTTGTATGAATATGACTGTGTCTAGTCAGATGACCTCTTTTTGAAAAACTCTTATCACATATGCTACAGGAAAAAGGTTTCTCACCAGTGTGAACACGATTGTGTATAGTCAGATCACTTCTTTGTATAAAACTCTTGTTACATATACTACAAGAATAAGGTTTCTCATACGTATGAACATGACTGTGTCTTATCAGATTACCTCTTTGTGAAAAACTTCTATTACATATATTACAGGAAAAAGGTTTCTCACCCATTTGAACATGAGACTGTTTAGTTGTGTCACTTCTATGGGAAAAACTATTATTGCATATGCTACAAGAATGAGGCTTCACACTGTATTCAGTCACATTACTTCTTTGTAAAAAAACTCTTATTACGTATATTACAAGAGTCAAGTTATTAACCAGTATCAGTCCGACTGCCGGTTAGTTAGATTACTTTCTACGAAAAACTCTTATTAGATGCTACACAAGAATAAGTATTCTTGTATTCTGTAAATATTAGTCTCAGTTCATTTCATATCCCTTTGTGTATAAAGGTGCGCCTTTAAATAAAATTGTTGTAACCAATTAAAGTTGAAAATAATGTCACACAAATGTAATAATTACTTATGCTTCAAATGGTAAATTTATCAGAACAATTAAATTTTAAAAACAAACTAATAAATATTTTATAAGAAATATGATTTTCTGAATAACAAGTATAGAAACTAAGGCTAGAAATTGATCTTGAAACTAATTTTGTTAAGCAGAGAATAAAGAAAAGGCAACAGAAATATTTAAATTATTATACTTAAAAATCATAACTGGAGTATCATTTAAAATGTTCTACAATAATCTATATTTTATTCTTGGTAAATGGTAAAACTTGCTTAGATTATTTAGTCTAGCATTCAAAACAAATTTTAAGGCTGTAACTATATGTTTTGGCTATCATATGACTAAGATTAACATAAAAAGTAACCTTAAGAAACTAATAATATAAGGAATGTTTAGTGATAGTGACTTAAGGCAAAAATTAAATTACACGCTATAGATTGAAACTTAGATTTTTCAACAAATATTTTATCATATGCACAGAGATACATAAGTTTCAAATTAGTGTGGACAAAAAATTTAGCTAATATGCCTCATAAAAATTTAATCATCCTAACCTATTACTATTGTTAGTTGCTTAACAGACTAACAAAATAAATTTTTATGTTAGTCTAAACACTGCTCAAACAAGACAAATATTGCTCAAATAGCATATTTCATAAGTAACAAACTTTTCACATAAACATTATGAAGAGATTTTCTGAGACTGTAAATTTAGACACTTTTTGCAGAAAAAACTTTTGCACCAAAGATTTAAATGCATAATCATGAGTACAAGAAAATTCTAAATAATATTTACAAGGATAATTTCTGTCTTTAGACTTATAATGAAGGTTCCCAAATGAGTGAAGATAATTGTGCCATACGAACAAGATCTGTAAATGGTAAACAGTTTACAGAAATTAAGCTTTTACATTATTTTAAAACACTTTTTGCCATTTATTACTTTGAAGTATTTTCCTTCATAGATTGCCAATGTCTTTTCAACAAAACTAGTGTAAGTATCTTAGTGCAAAAAACTAAAATCAATGAATTTATTTCCCAAATATTAAAGCGAGAATTTCTATTTAACTTGATAAACGATATACAAATTTAGAGCACATTTTTCCATATTCGAATAACGGATTTCCTAACTCATCCACACCAATGCTTGGATTGTTCAGATTGACTAGGGTGCGAGTGATGTATAGAGAGACGAGATCTTTTTTTCAGCTTATAGCTTTCTATATTCATTAAGAAGGCTTTGTTTGAGGCTAAACAGATAGCAGAAACGATACAATTAATGGCTGACTTTATGGGCGATCGCAACGCTCAAATACGCCATCTGGGGAGAAAACCGGATCCATCCCTTACGAAAAAAATCGAGATATAAATGAGGTATAAACGAAGTATATTCTAAACGTATAAAGGAGAGGTTGTAATTTAATACATCTGTGGAAAGGTAGATATTTAGTACTTTAAGATGTTTTACTTTCAACCTTAGGTTATTTCTTATCAACCTTAAGTATATTTTTTTTACACTTCTGGAAGCATTTGTTCAACAACACTTCAGGTTATCATAAATCAACCTCAGGTGCATTTTGTTCTACCTCAGATAATTATTTTTCAACCTCAAGTATATAATTTTATGCTTGTAGAGGTATTTGTTTATCAATCTGTGGTGCGTCATTTTACACTTCAGGTTAATATAAATATATCTCAGGTGTATTTTTTAATACTTGGAAAGGTAATTTTTAACTAACGTGAAGTGTATTATGTTCGACATCAGGAAATTATTTTTCAACCTCTGGTATCTAATTTTTATGCTTGTAGAGGTATGTATTTTGCAGCCTATGGTGTGTCATTTTACACTTCAGGTTACTATAAATCAACCTCAGGTGTATTTTGTTCAACCCCAAGTAACTATTTTTCAACCTCATGTATTTAATTTTATGCTCGTAGAGGTATGTATTTTTCAACCTACGGTTTGTCATTTTACACTTCAGGATTCAGGTAACTATAAATCAACCTCAAGTGTATTTTTTGACCTTGGAAAGGTTATTTTTTATTAACGCCATGTGTTCCATGTCCTACCTTAGGTTATTATTTCATAACCTCAAGTATATATTTTTGTATTTTTAGAAGCGTTAATTTATCAACCTAAGATGCGACATTTCACACTTCAGGCTTATGTAGCTCAACCTAAAGCTATTTTTTTAGTACTTACGAAGGTAATAATTTCCAAACGTGAGGCGTTATACGGTCCACCTAGTTTATCATTTTTTAACCTCTCTATATAAAAAATATAATAAATATAAAGATATTATATGAAGAATAATGCATATCATTACATTTTTTCACTAATGGAGATCTTCATTTATCAACCTGAAGTTTTTAAGATTAAACCCTCGACAGTAATTGCTTCTTTTGTTAAGCTATAAATGAAAGTTTCAAATGCATAATTCTTCTGTAATTTTCATTGATTGACATTTTGAAATAACACTTATCCAAATTCTACAGTTAGGAAAAATTATTCATGGGAACTCATATTTTTAGAAGATAGTAGTCTAACGCAGTGGCGTAGCGAGGGGTGGGCAAGGGGGGGCATCATGCCCCGGGCGCTACTCACAAAGGGGCGCCAAATGGTCCACAAAACAAAAAATTGCTGGATAATTTTTTTTTTATTATAATTAATTTCNGGTCGTCAAAAGGGTTACTAATTCTAAGAGTACTGCACGATACACTGCACACGTATAAAGAACTATGTATGCGTTTCTTTTATCTTTAAGGTACAGTGGACCTGCGAGGTTAACCAACACCTAGAAACAACAGGCCTCAGCACGGGTTACCATAAATTTCCCTTAGTAGTCCAAACGTAATGACATATTTTGTATTTTCAACCACTGCGCAGCTTAGTATCCCTAACGTGATGACATCTCTCTTATTTTTCGTCTACTGCGCAGTTAACTTCTTCACATCGGACTACTAAATTGATCCGTGCTGAGGCCTTCCTTCTTGTAGGAGGTGTTGATTCAATAGACATAAGTGCGAGCTATGCCAAACGAACTTGATTCATCGTTGAACGCAAATAATTTTTTATCAATTTTAATCTGGAGAAAGATCTTTCTCCAGATTATTAAATAATTTCCGAATAATTCCAGATTATTAAATAATTTCAAAAGATTTACTTTTGACAATGTTAATTTCCTTCACTTAGTTATCATAGTAGTATCATGAAAACTATGAAGCTATTTGTAGTATAAATATTTCTTGTAATTAATCTCACTATCAATTTCACTGTTTTTTTGTTTTTTTTTGCTGCTTTGTTGTTGTATTGTTGACGTGAAGTGTTTACATAGTTATCGATCGAGCTAATCATAATGGTATTATCGATATCAACTGCAATATCGGCAGTATGTCGGTATTGCAGATAAAGTTCGATAAACAAATTTGTAGATTAAAATCCATATTAATAAAAATGTTAAAAAAAAAATATGCAAGAAAATTTTAGCATATATTTTGAAAAGAGGGGAGGAGTGGGGGAAGGAAGAGAGTGCCCAAAAACGGCTATGCCTAGGGCCTACGAAAGGTATAATCCGGCTCTGATTGGAATCTAAAAGAAAAAATATATGAATTATTAAGAAAGTCATATTTACAATAATAATGCAGGTTTTAAAATATTAGAAATTGTTTCTTTCATGATTTAAATTAACTGGATGAAATTAATTTTCCTTTTCAGGTAAATGGCATTCCTCTTCTGCCATTTCTATTCAATCTTCGTAGCTGAAAAGCGTACCAGGTACCACAGCCACAAAATAAAATACACTGAAGGAAGTACTATCATTAACAACATTTACAGAAATTCAAATATATAATTCCAATATTATGACATTTTAACACTTTTTATTTTTCTATACATCTGGTATCATTATGGTTACTTGTAAGTTTGATAATTAGATTTCCTTTCTTTTTTCTTACAAATCTTTAAGCTTAGTAAACCTAGTCTATATTTTTAAACCTTTTGTCAGACTTCATGAAGCTAATAGTTTTTTTATAAATTTTTGACGCTGATTCTGAAAAGGACTTTCATTATGATTAATCACATCAGAGTTTCTTAAAAAATAGTTATTTTAATATTTTTTAATCAATGTAATCAAGAATCAACAATCGTTTAATAAATTAAAATGTTAAAGTTATGGACCAATTTTTATTCTTTTTTTACACTCAGTCAAATAGAACTAATTACAAGCTGATAAGGAGCATTTATTTTACAGTTGTGAGCAATTTTATGAGAGGAAAAAGTCTAAGAGAGAATGATTTGAAATAATACTTTTAAAAGAAGTTGAGCATAATATCTCTTGTAAAACTTATAATACCGAGCAGGATGAAACAAATAATTAGTAGTTACAAACATTTGTTTAAATATAAGAACACATCCCATAGGATGAGATTCAAAAAAATGCATATAACTTTCAACAATAAATGTTGCATTTGATTTTTATTCAATTCAGTATTAAAATTGAATAAGAAATAATACTGACTTATTTCTAAAAAATTTAAGATTTCCGAAATTCGCTGATTTTTGAAGTAGTGAACCACAAGCAGCTGCACAAAAATGTTAATTACCTTGAAACAAATTGTCATATAAACTTGAAATCGGGTTTTAGTTAATTCTGTTTTCTAATAAGTAATGACAACCTGCTTAGAAAATAATTACGTGGGTAAATTGTGAAAAAATAACATGTAGTGAAAAACAACAGTTTTGCTATAAATCATGAAAAAAAGAGCTAGTACAGTTACTAGTTTTCAATTATCAAATATCTGGCAAACTATGGTTATCAACAATTACATAAATTCTGTAGTTTATTATGAGAGATTACTTTTTCTTTTTGGTATGAATTCAGAACTTTTTCCCAGGAGAAGGCTGAGCAGTAGCTTGCTAGTCACTTCTTCTTCGTTGCTGCACATGTGCTATTTACAGCCTAGGTCATCTCAGCAATATCAGAGAACTATGGATAAGCTCTGTAAATATATATACTATATATATATATATATACTTTAAAAAACGAAATTGCATGTTAATCAGATTTAAAATGCAGTGTTATTATACATATTTTCACTCATAAACAACAATATAAACTTTGCATACAGATATCAAAGCAAACGATTAGCTTGCAACTATAGTAGAATTTCAAAACAAAATTGCTATTTTAAAAATCCTTCAATTTTCAATTATTTATTTATAGGAGAAATTATGAAGATTTTACTCAATGAATCAGCTTGCATGGTGCTACGTTAAAACATATTCATTCAAGCAAAACAAAAAAATAGTTATATTTGAATAAATAACAAACAATAAAATATACTATGGGTAATCTGCTGTAACGATTCACCAGTAACGTTACCCTGAACAGCGACGAGAAATATTCCGCTTGTTCTCTCTTATTGCCAAGCCTACAACAATAGACCTTAAAGAAAACCCTCTGACTTAAATCAATTAAGATCAAGACGCGTCTTTAAAACAAAAATAATAAAATTCAAGTTTAAAAATTGAAGCATATTTGAATAAAAGTGATAAAACTTAATTTATAAATGTCAAACACACTTACCAAATTTCGAATAGACTTTCGATTGTCAACATACACGCCATTTGCCGGCTAGCACGGAACTCTGGGAAGTGAGCTAGTTAATATGAAATGTACTTTAAACAACCTTAAAACAAGCTTAGATATAAATAAAATGACTTCGTTCACCTAAATAAATACCTCACACTCTTTAGTTAAAAAAAGGTTGTTTTTTTTATACCTTG